TGGTACCGAAGGAGTGAGTTGTGGACCTTCGGAAAGGACACAAAACAGTACTAGTCTGTTCAGCCGGAGGGAGCAGAGGAACCGGGCCTATCATGTAATCCTGTGCACCGTGTTCTTGGGGACAAAACTGTGCTGTCCGCTCACTCGGTCTGCATCCAAAAATGAACATGGGAGGCTTCCTACACGCCCCCGCCCTGGTGCTCCTCTTCCGAGTTCTTCCGCTGTATGAGTCATCAAGCAATTTTAAACACCTAATAGCTTATGACAGATGAGTCTGAATCAGAGGCACACATGTTGCCAAAAGGCCCGCTCTTTTGAGTCTGCTTAGCTAGTCATAATACACTGCATGGCCATGAAAGAGTTTATAGTTTGTGTACATAACACCCTCCGCGTACTGGAGCACGGTTTATCCAAACAGAAAAAGAATGGAGATGGATGAACACGGCATTGACTTTTGGCTAGGAAATACTTTAATTTTAATTAGGGGAGAAAAGGAGCTGAAAGGGGAGGGAAACAGTGGAATCTTTCTTCTCTCACAAAAGACAAGACTAATGAGTTTACTGCTCTGGGAGATGACCTCCGAACATTCACCAGAACACTTGCACTGAAGTGTTTTCATTTGTTAAAAAGTGTGATATCGTTACATTTAAAACAAAGAAATGAAGGGAAACATCTGACGAGGGACTTCAGGCAGCTGCCGAGTCTGTTCTGGCAGGCTCTAACAATCTGCAAAACACCAGCTCAGCTTTGCAAACAGGGTGGAGAGGGGAAGAAGTTTGACAGATTTATCTCGTTCTCTGGAGTTAAGTGGGAGGGAGGGCTGGGGGAGATACTGTGGCCCAGTGTAAGGTTCAAGAAGGGATCTGGGGGGGCGTGTAGATGCACGAGCATCTCAGCCCTGTTAGTTTCTTTGCTTCTTTTAGGCCCAGTGTGCAGTTCTCTTGCGCTTGTCCAGCCGCCCCGCTTTGCCTTTGCCTGGGATGCTCATGCTGCAGCCTTTGCAGAGAAATCTCGGAACTGGCTTGCACAGTCCTTATGGGTTAAACACGCTTTTTAAAGTGGTGGCGTGCCCCCGGTGCCTTTGCCTGCTCCCCCAGTCGGGTGCCGCTTGTGTCATCAGAACCAACGCAGCTTGTCTTGTTGGAGAAGGGAATGGCCCTAAATAGCAGAGCGGCAGCCGTTTGGTTCTCCGACGCTTGCCTCCACCCTCAGCCGGCCACACCATCCCGGGTCAGGCCAGGCAGTGATCAATGGCTGGTCGAGTGATGAGGCAAATAAATGGTGAGCTTATGAGACGGTGTGGACTGGAGACTCCATGGGTTTCTTCTAAGTGGAGAGAACTGCAGCGCTGTGGCAAAGGTTCTGTCCTGCACTCCGATCCTGATCCACTTAGATCTTTTGGGTGGATCCAGGAGACTGCACTGGCCCCACGGGGTGGTCTAATTAGGCTAGCTCCATGCTGCTTAGCCATGCTGCTTGATGGGCACAACAAAACCGGAACTATTCATAAGGCGTGACGTTACTGCAACAAAATTGGTCTCTTTCTCCTTCTTCCCACATGGTGCCACACTCCGAGACCTCGTTGTCTGTGGAGCCAGTCTGAAAAGGGGCACCCTACTGAGCTCGCAGCTGGGTGGGCTGAAACAATGGTGTGAGTTAATGGGCCAAAAGGCCCATCAGTGTTTTCCCCATTAAAGTAATTTTCTTTATTGTGTATTATGACCATAAGGTTCTCTCTTGGCTCATTCAGATATTGTGCAGAATAAACGATTGCTGTGTTACTCCACTGTAAATGAGACCACAGGATCATAAACTTCGATTTGTTAGTTTTGGCTGTGCTCTGACTTGGCAGCCCATTACACCAGTTCATTAGTTGGAGTGCAGAGGTGCCACGTCCTCTTTAGTAAGCCTCTTTAATAAGACTCCAGGAGGGGCTGGATGATGGAGACATGGGCTGGATTGCCCCGCAAGGTGGGTGTAGCTTTTTGTGTATGTGATAAATTGTATGCTTGACAGGCTGGTCCAGGAGAGGTTGGATCTTGATTTCGGAGGCCCGTGTTCATGTTTCCCTCTGTTCCCTGGTCAATAGCCATTGTAACCTGCAGGTAACCTTTAATTCATTCCTCAGAGTGCTTCACTGGGGATGAAGGGGATTTTCAGTCAGTGACTGTTTGGACTTGAACTTTCACCAGACTGGCACTTCTGAAATCAAAATGGGAGCTTAGTTGTCCTTTGGTAGGAACATGTCCCAAAGTTCTGTGGTGTAATTCTGTGAATAACAACAAAAAAATCATTTAAATATATTAGCCCAAACACAACAAAAATGCAATCCATAGAAGAAAATTGCTTGCAGAAATCTAGGCATGGTGCAGTGCCCAGCCACGTACGTGCCTTTTCATTCAGGCGGTTTCGAAGTCACAAACTGATGTGCAAATGGGGCAGAGCGTACTGAGCACCTGAAAAACATGAACCTGTGGACAGAGTTGCCCATTCCGTGATCGCATGCCTGTAATAAAATGCATTAGGCTGGAATGAGTGTGCGAGCACGACTCGACTGTCTCCTCCTCCACATCCTGCATATTTCCATTAATTATTTTGCCTCCTCCCCAAAGAACAAGCACTTGGGATTTTTATTGGCTGTTGCCTCTAGTGACTGCTCCTTGTCTTGGCTTGGAGGAGGATGGGGGGAGACGTGTGCACCAGGGTGTTGACAGCAAGGCTGGGAGCGTGTTCTTAGGAGCTGCTACTCCTGCTGCGTCTTGCTTGACTCATAATCCTTGTGACACTTGTCAGGATGCCGGTTGCTCACCACCGTGGTAATGGAGTTCCTGGGGGCAGCTGGGGAAAAGCCAACCCTTCCCTGTCATCTCTTGCAAGTGTTCTGAAGGATCAAATGTTTTCAGCCAGCAAAGCAAAAGCAGCAATGGAAATATGAAGCCCTGGATTGTTTGCATGTGGTGAAGGGGGCAGGGGGAAACCTTCCTTCCTGCTGTGGGAGGATATTGCCTTGTTTTGTAAAAGGACAGATCACGATCTCCCCCTTGAGTGGGAAAGCCATGCCCACCCACTCCGCTTGAGGGCTGTATGAGCAAGAAGGGCACTTTGGTGGCGGCATCCATTTAGGGAAGTGCTCTTGCGCGCCGATTCGTTCGGTGAAGGAACGATGCCGCGGATGCAGCGCAGTCCCGCTTCCGCTGAACAGTCAGGACCGTCCCAGGGCCAGAGCTGGCTTCCGTGTCTGGAGCCCTAGTTGAGCCCAGGTGTTGAAACGCCTGGCTGAAACCCAGCCAGGTGGCAAACGTCATGTGAGCTGAAAGAAGCAAGGGAATAATTACCAAGACGGGACCATGTGAACGCCTTAGTGTTTTATTTCCCAGGTGCCTAGGCTGCCTCACTTCAGCCCTCTGGGGGGCTTTGCCCTGGCCTTGCCATTCCAGGGTGACCCTGAGTGCCCCCCCCCCGCTCCAAACACTTCCATTGGGCCTCCGTTCAGCCCTTCTTGAGCGCCACGTGTTCCAGTTAAAAGCACAGGAAAAGGGACAGCGCCGCCTCGCAGGGGAGCCTCGCACTCAGCTTCACAAGTGCATGCAAAGGATGGCTCCATCCGCCTGCGCAGATTACTTTTAAGTGCTCTTTCAACAGCAGATGCCCGAAGTAACAAAAGCTGGGCCCTTCTCTTCAGCTGCATGTGGCTTTGATGGGATTTTTAAAAGAATACTTTTCTTCCTGCTCTCTTCTCCCCCTCTGCTCCCCCTACCATCAGTTAAGGCCTCAAACCACTGTTTGGATTTTCCATTATGTTCTGAAATGGAAGTCTGTAATTTCATCTTGTCATTTCGGCGGCCTCCCCACTCCCCCGCCCGAGCCATCTCTTCCATGTAATACAGTGTGTTACTAGAAACAGCGCATTTCTGATAAAATATTGATCGTGGCAGCTTTATGGGGTTGTGAACTCAGTAGGGGCAATGGCCTTTGAAGTTTCCTGATTTCCTTCAGGATTTCCCAGGTAAAATTGGAACAGACTCCAGGTGGAGAATTGCTTGGCCGACAAAAATTCTCTTTGGAGAAGAGCTTGTCCCGTGATTTCACCTCATTCTTTACACAGGATAATATTGTTACGAATTGCAGAAAAGGTGGATGAGCGTGATGATTATTCACAGCTGTTGGATGTGTTGTCTTGGCTCCTTCTAATGTTGTGCCAAACTCAGGAAAATGCGTGGAATTGCAGGATTTAAAAAAATGCAGGGTGCAGTCCTATGAATGCCGAGGAGGAGGAAGGGGCATGCCCCGCGGGGGAAGGGGGCAGTGGGGATTGGCACTGCTGGGCCCCTGCCGTGGCCGGTGGATGCGTGTAAGCCCCCGAGTTCCAAGACTTGGGTGCGTACAGGGTGAGGGGGATAGGTTTGCACCAATCTGAAGATCTGGGAGATTTGGGCACAGTTGTTGGTTATTCTTACATGTCAGATGATAGGGTGGAGCTATCGGAAACGGGCGTTCCTTGTGCCAACTCTGGTCCCGCTTCTTGCCTGGCTTAGTCTCCCAGTTGCATAACTAAAAGAGAGGAGAGATGCGGTTTTCTCTGGCAATGGAACTGGCCTCTGGGCAGCAGCATTTCTCTCGAGACTAGCTCACCTGCAGACTTGTCTCTGACCAGAACCTTGTGCTTGTGTGGGGCAGGGCAGCGACTACCGCCAAAGAAATGGCAGGATCAGATCTCTGTGCAGCTTGGTACAGGTGGCGGCGTTTTGAACTAGGCCCAGCTTCTGTGACGGATGCATGCAAGTGCTGCCTATACGGGCCAAGAGCATCCTTGGACCGAGCGAGCTGCTTGCAGAAAACAGAAAACTCCCAGCTGAGCTGCACGACTCTTTAATGATCCAAATTTGCCAAAGGTCTACCGGCGTTAATAGGCTGAGCACGTTCATCAATAAACCATTTACTCTCCCTCTCCCTCCCGGCAGTTGCTCTGACTAGATCTGACACACAAACACTTAACTACCTTTTTCATCCAAAATCAATGTTGTATTTATCTTCAATGATCTACAAAGAAACCAAATGTTTAAAATTACAGGGGATGCAGGGAGACAGGAGGAGGGGAGGGGGAGGAAATACAGAAAGTCAAGGGAAGAAAATACCAGCAGATGTTTGAGTTAACCAGAAAGCAGAAACTCAGAGTAATATAAAAACATGAATACTGGAAGATTAAAAAAAAAAGTGGGGAAAGGAGGCGGTTACAAACAAGGCTGTCACCGCCAAGGTAGGTGCACTAGGTGAAGCAGAGGAAATCTTCGTTTGTGTCTTCTGGCCAGGGCTTTACTTAACCAACTGGGTGTGGGGTGTGGGGTTCCCACTGTGTGCAGGGACTTAAAAAAAAGCCGAAGACCTGACACTTGGTTCTAGGGGGCAGGAGACTGAATGGAACCCAGCCCAGGTTCCAGTTTTGCCAAACAACCAGATTGAGCAATTGTAACTTTTTAAAAGGAACTCTTTCCATACCTGACTGAGGCATAGCAAAATTCACATAAGGGGAAAAAAAAGTGGAATTCATGCTTAAAATGCCCCAAACCCCAAAATTCAAGGCAGCTCTCACACGGAAACAAACATTTGAATAGGTTATTGCAAAGGACATAGAATCAGTATGTTTCTTCAGTTAACTATTGGAGGGTTTTTGTGTTTGTTTTGCGCTCCTAGCATTCCTCGTGCTAAATGAGAGGACAAGGGTTCGGCCGGGGATTGTGTTTGAGTGCCCCGTGCGCCTGGTCTGAACGGGAGAGAGGAAGGTGGCCAGAGGTGTGTGTGTGTTTGTGTTGGTGGGCGTCTCTTGCTTATTACTGTGTTGGTTTATCAGAGATGTACACACTTTGATAATAAGTAATAGGGAACCTTTTTTGACTGAATGTACCTTGCAGTATATGGACTAAACTGAAATGGAAAAAATAGCCCCACAAAAAGGGGTACTTTGGGTGGGAAATGCTGGGTGGAACACATTTTTTCCTCTCTGTATCGTATTGCCATTCTTTCTACAGAGCTATTTATTAGCTGGAGGCTGAGAAGGTGAGAGAGAGAGGGAGAGAGAGAGTGTGTGGGTGTGGGGGGGGGGGTCCTTCCCTGTCCCCACCTGCTTTTGCATAGTTGAAGGTTATATGCCACAATTAGTTGGGATGCGGGGGTTGTACGTATGCCAGGATTGTTTTTTTCCAGACAGTGACAAAAATGAGTTAGCATAATGTTAACAAATAACCAGAGAGTGGTTCTAGAAACCATTTTTTTTTTATAAAGGCTACCTATGTTAAGAATTCAATATTGGTGTACATTTATATTAACAGAATATTTACATATTGTTTTCTTTTTTGTTGTTTAAAACAAGAAGTCAAAAAAACTCTCATTTCTCCGTAATATAAGGCAAAAAACAAACAGTTTTTGTACATTATTATTATTATTATTATTATTTTTAATATATATCTGTAACTTCAGTTCCAAAGTACCAAGAGAAATGAATGGCCTCAATTTGGGAACCTCACAGTGGACTTGTACGAAACTACAGTATTTCCATAAATAATACTTTAAGAAACCCTGGGTATGTATTTTGTTTTTACTTAAGGATCTGAGGCCATTAGATCTGAACTAAAAACAAAAGCCTTTTATGTGAATAAAGAGCACAAAATTAAAAAAAATACAAATTCATTAAAAACATTTCTCACATTTGGGAAAAATGTACAAACTTGGTAATATTTTAACTCAGCACAGAAGCAAAAGCAAAAAAAAATAATAATAATCAAGACCTATATATTAAATTTCCATTTTCAGCGACCACCTGCTTGGAAGGTTTGCAGCCTGTGACCCTCCCCTCCCCCCCAAATTATTTATGGAACTGTGCTTAATTTCTACAAATTTTACAGTTTTAAAAAAGTTTACAGCAGTGCATTTTTAAAAGACCCCCCCCCCCCTTCTCCTATATTTACAGGCAAGGTCTAAAACTCATCCTGTTTGTTGGTTAGGGACTATCGTGCCTCTACTTCTTTGGGGTTCCTAGAAGGAGAATAGTCTCTCGACTCTGAGTTTGTGAGTGGCGTAGTCCGGCGGGGGGAGGAAGGTCTTGTACTACTGGCTGGCACCAATGGGGGCGGGGCACTCAGGGCGGCTGTGGGCGGGTTTCGGTTCAAGATCCCGTTGTGCATGGCAGCCGAGGGGCTGAGTCTGGGATAGTGCATCCCGCTGAGATGAGGCAGGAAGGACGGCACGTGGGCCAGGTGGTTCTCGATGGGGGACGAGTGCAAGTGGTGCATCCGGGCACGCTCAAGCTCCTCCCGCAAGTGCAACCGCTCCCTCTCCTCGGCCTGCCTGAGCCGCTCCTGCTCGCGCCGCGCTTCGAGAAGGTTCTCGTGGTTATAGTCGTGGGGCTCCCTGTCTCGGTAGGAGCGCTCGTGATCGTAGAACCCAGACGTGGTGGGGAACCGATGGATGGGATCTGCTCGGAGCTGGAAATCCATCCGACGGTGCAGGTCTAAGTTCCTGTAGGCATCTCGCAGTGGGTCCCGCATTGGGTCCCAGGAGAACCCGGGGTGTGGGAGTCTCTCCCTGCCTGGCAGTGGGTTCATGCCCATTAATGGAGTCATCATTCTGCTGCGGTCCAGGACATTCATGTTGTTCATCTGATGGACGCTGCCCATTGAAATGGGCATTGTGGCTGCCATGCTATGGGGCAGTGGCAAGCCATGCAAAGTAGGTGGTGGTGGAGGATGTTCGACGCTTCTGGAATGCTGCGAAGGTTCGGAGCTCACAACCAATACATCACCGTCCTCCTTACGTTCCTCTTTGACCTTGATATCATGCTTAATCTTCTGAAGGTCAGTCGGAAGTTCTGGCTTTCTTTCAATGTCTTTGTTCATTAGATTGCTGAGTTTTAAACTCTCACTCAGTGCAGGTTTGCTGTAGGGAGATACAGACTGGATTACTGGCTTTGCATTGTCCTCGGAGGATCTTTTTTCATGGCTTGGTGGTTCCTTCACTGGGGAGCGGCTTTCTTTGATCTTGTGCTCCACAACTGGAGGAGGATCCCTCAGTCGGTCAGGAATCTCCCTCTCCGGCTCTTTAGACCTTTCTCGTTCACCGAGGCCCACTTGCCTGGTGGGATCACAAGAGGTTTGGCTGTTGCTGCGAATGAGGTTGCTGATCTGGTGAGTCACTGGAGCTGAAGCTGGCGAGGATCTGTTTGAATGTCTGTTTTTATCCAGAAGATCCCTGGAAGGGGAAAACAACATGCTGCTGTCACTTAACAGTTCTGTGTTCTTGTCTTGCATTATTAGTAATACAAGCGCTATTTAATAAAGGTCACCAGTCTTTTCAATTACAAGTCCTTATTACACAGGCATAGAAATGCGACTCTTTTTGGACCCTGGTACACCAGCTGAGAATGATGAATGCCAAATCCGTTGAAACATATGGACACAAGCTGCTCAGCAACTGCTCGGCTTGTGCCGGTTCACCTTGGCGTGTGACCTGCAGATGGGCCATAATGCTCCACTCCCTTCTACACAAGCCTAAATTCATAGCAAGCTCAGGATGCTTACTGAATCATGGGCATTTTGCCTTGTTTTAGTTGCAAAGTCATGCCTGATCCATCACAACTCCATGGACAACATTCCTCCAGGCTCTTCTCCACCATCCCCTGGAGTCCACCCAAGCCCAAACTCACCACCCCAGTGACCCCATCCTGCCACCTCAACCTCTGCCGTCCCCTTCTCCTTTTGCCATCAATTGTTCCCAGCATCAGGCTCTTCTCCAGGGAGTCCTTCCTTCTCATTAGGTGGCCAAAGTATTTGAGTTTCATCTTCAGTATCTGACCTTCTAAAGAGCAGTCAGGGTTGATTTCCTTTAACATTGACTGGTTTGATTTCTTTGCAGTCCACGGGACTCTCAAGAGTCTTCTCCAACACCATAATTCAAAGCTGTCAATTCTTTGCCGCTCAGTATATTTCTATTTCTATTATTTCTATATACATATATAGGCAAAATATATTTTGCTTAGAACATTTTAAGTGCAATGTCTCAGTTTCAGGAGGACAAGTGGTCCTGTCTGAAGCAGGTGACCTCTCATACCTCTCCTTCTCTCGGTCATCTTTGCTTGAGGAAAGATCCCTCTTCTCAGATTCTCGGTCTCTGTCATGATTGGTCACGGAGGAGCTTCGTTCAGAGTCACCGGGCTTGGGCCACTGAGGCGGCGTCGGGAAGGAAGGCGGGGTCCGATGGAGTCTGTTCCATGGCTCATGTGGGTTGTTGAAGCTCTGGACACTGGGCCCTTCTTTGTGGGCAAAAATGCTATTGTGACCTAGGACCAGGAGAAAGGGGGAAAGACCGCATTAGCTTTCCACGTCCTTGCTTGAACGGAGCACTTTTTGTCCTAGACAAGTTCTGCAAAAGTGTCATTACCAGCAGTTATCCTTTCAAAGCTAGAGGGGGGAAAAAGCACATACACTTAGAAACAGAAATAGTAGGACAGCTCTGATAACCGTGGAAGGAAAGAGCAGCCCTTTGCAGAAGGAAGGCTACATCTGAACAACCTGGGGGCTGTGATGAGGCCATGTGCTCTGAGGATGAGTGGCGAGTCCCAAATCACCCAGCTCTCCCAGTTTAGTGTCCACAGCTAAACTGCCACGGCTGCCACTGCCACTGACGAAGAGGTCGCTGCTAGTTAAAAAGGGCCCGCCATCTGCAGGATCCGTGGGAAGCAGTGGCCGAGGCGCTCGACTGGGGCATCGACAGGCTGAGCAGCCTGCAGCAGTTCTCCCGGGGCACACTGCTTAGTTCGCCTCCGTGTTCCTTCCTCAGAAAAGCTCCCATGGCTCCTTGGATGGGACGTGCTTCCTATTGGGGTGCTCTTTGAGATACTGAAAAATGCCTCAAGAACCAGTGGGAGGTTCAGTTACTTTGTGGTGTTTGAAAGCTGTAAACGTAAACTCTTTCCAGTCCTGCGGTATGGCTGAAAATCCAGGTTCTCTCGGTGCCTAAGCAGCAACCCTCCAGATTTCCAATACCGTCCCAAAGACAGTACGTGGTGCAGCACCCCATCGCTCGAACCCACTTTCTTTCCATGGCGTTAAGGCTTTTCTTTGTGAGAGCACCCCCTGCCTGGGCAAGGTAGTGAGCCCCAATCTTTTTCTCAGAAAGCTTCCAGCTCAGCGAATCCCCCTGAACCCCGTCTCTCTCTCTCTCTCTCTCTCTCTCTCTCTCAGTACTAGCACTCCAAGCCAGTTTTGGAAGATGTAAAGTCGCTATTGAGGAGACACAATAGTGACATGCCTATCTAAGATACCTGCGTCCATCTTTATCAATGCTGATCTGATCCGATCATGAGTCTTTGTGGTGTGTTTGTCTTATTTTCGAACGATCCTGTGGCTGCACACAGGCCAGGCGGTACACTGGATTTAGCCAGCCATGTATTCTGATGATCACATGGAAAGCTTGTACAGTCCAGTGGCCGAGCCCACGCTCTGCATGCAGAAGGTCCCAGGCAAAGCGGCTTCCTACAAGTAACCTGCCCAGGCTGGCCTTAGAAAAAGCACATGGATAACCCATCCGGATGCAACAGTTCCATGTCTTTGCATTCATCAGATTATTCCAAAGTTACTACAAGACACCCATCCCTGGCTGTGTTTCAGAACAACACATGCTAATGAGAGTGGCCTGAATATTTCACAGGCCTGAAAAGTCTGCGCCAGGGGCCCTCAGGTTGTCTCGACTCGCTTCCAAACAGACACCTGGTGCTGGTTAAGCTGATTCGCCTGTGCAGTGTCGGCTCCTGGATTAGAACCATTTTGCTCTGCCCCTTTCTGCTTCTGCCCTGATTTCCCCCCATTGCCCTGGGGCTCGTCAGGTCTGAATAAGCCTTCCAAAAAAGGACGTGTGCAAGGTAAGCGTGAGCGAGCCTTCTCGCCCATTCTTTCCAAGTCTTTCGCAATGTGGCGGCAGCTTCCTCGAGCGTACGCCATGCCTGTCACACACACTCTGAGAAGCAGACCCCAGATACAGAAAGGAAGTCAGAGGGACCCAGATCGCCTGGAGCCCACTTTCTTGGGGAGAGGGAGAGCCCGAGTTACAGAAACACGGCTGCCGGTGGGTTAGGGACAAATGATGGAAAAGCTCCTGTCACAGAGACCTGGAAAACTTAGGTGCAGTGTTTTGTTTTCTTCCTTCTCAAAAAGGAGAATGGAGGTTAGGAAACGAGAGCGTTGCTTTGTTTCAAGCAAAGTACCACCAGCTGCTTTCAATGTGAGCATGTGGCTTGTCTCTGGAGAGGAGGTTTGTCTGCAGTAACCCAGCCAGTACTTACTCAGAGTATGACTGCCTAATCCTCCAAAGGCATTGCTGCCTAAGTTCCCAAGGCCGCTGAAGGTGCTTGACCTGCTAAATGGATCTGGAAAGGCAAACAGGGTTTTAGCTGGCATTTAGCCAAGAATGCTGGAGAATGAAATGCACCCCTCTCCCCTCCCCCTCTTTTCTTTAATGGTCTGAATCCAAGTAGGATTAGGCCAGACTTTAAGCTGATCCTTCTCACTGCAAGGTTCTTTGCACAGAACATTCCCAGCATGTTAAAACTGGAGAAGGGATTTGAGCCGCTTACTCCACGAAACAGGTGCTGGAGTTAAGCTCCGTGCGTGCCGAGAGAGAGGGAAGCTGAAAGTTAGCGGCCAAAGAGCCAAAATGTCGGGCACAGCTACCGAGCTGAAACCCAATCCACCTGGAATGGCAACAGCAAAACGAAAAGCTGCAAACTGATTCCCCACACAATATATTATTTATTTCCTGGTGGCCGGAAAAGTTGCCCATGCGCAAGGAGGGCATGACATGGCCTTTGATGCACTGATCCTCCCTCTTTGCCACTCTGCTTTGGATTGTTCTCGCTCTGAAGCAAGAACCTGGCAAAACCTAGGATCTGCCGTACAGAATTACAACGGCATCTTGCCCTCGCTGGACACCCCACCCCTGGCAGGAACATGGTCTCCATTTTCTCTAACTGTATCTTCTTTAGTCTTTGCCTGTTAAACCTTCGTGATCTGAGCACAGCTAAAACTCTGCAAAGTTTCTTTTGACCTATGAAAAGAAAAGCTGAGCAAAAGATGCTATTTGCTCTAGCAGTACAAATAGGCAGAACATGGAAGGGCTATGTACTCTTCCTTTAATGAGTGACTAGCTACACTAGCATGGCCTGTGCCCCCAATTTTCATTGGCAGAGTAGGAGTCAGAGCCATTCTACTATAACACCATGACATATCACAGGGTATGAAAATAGCACCTGTTAAGTGGATATAATTCAAATTATTTAAATACCTTGCCTCCCTTTTCTGATTGGGTATAGACAACTTAATAAATTCATTATAATGGAATTATGTAAATAATACATGTAAGGATCATCCAGACTGCTAGGGAGTTGAATTCATGCCATGCGTGAAGAGTCCATGAGAGTCTACAAATACCTCTGGGGGGTCTTCTGTGTGACCCACCAGCTCAGCTGAATGTGGAACATCTGTCGTCTCAGTGCCTGAGCTTAACTGGTCTGTGGTGTGGGCTAGTCACTCTCCTCTTTGCCTGCCTCAACACTGGCAACAACTGGAGCTTGTCCAACAGTTATATGGGTCCTAGCCAGTACTACTACATATCTGAATTAAAAGGAACCAACAGGGCTTCAAGTGCAAGCGTGTAAAACTGAGGTGAGTGACTTACTCAGCATGGCCCCCTGTATCAGAACACATTCGAAATCACATGTTCAAATCTGTTTCCCCAACTATGAAAGCTAGAAAGTTACTTTAAAATAAAAAGAATGAGATTCATAGAAGGATGGATTCTTCAATGACTACTAGCCAGGTTGGCAAAAAAAGGAACCTCTTAAGTTCAGAAGCGATATACCTCTGATAATGAGACGTGTGAGTTTCTCAGGGTCGCTGCCTGACTCAAAAGCCATTTGTTTAATTTTACATTTGCCTAGTCTAATGAAGGCAGTTCTTTGGTGTACGAGAACCCAGCATGTGAGACCTCTGAGCAGGCCAGAGGTCCTTTGGTTCCCGCACTGACTCTCAACAAGCTGCCTAGAGGCATTCTGTGGAGTCCAAAGAAACAGCAAACGTTTGTGCATCTATCTGCACTTGCTGGTTTACTTTTCTGCAAGCCCTCTGGAACCTGGACTAATATATTCCTGTATCACCCCTGCATGTACCATTGGAAGACTGATACCTGCCTTCCTCTCTCCTGGCCCTTAAACACCAATTTGCACAGAGATTCTCCTCTCTTGCTCTCTCATGGACTGCCTGGCCATCACATCTATGCAGGAGTCTTTTGGAGGGGAAAGGATCACTCTGGACCTTCTGAAAACATTGTTGGATCTTCTAAAGATCTTCTAAACATATTTGATTTGAGCAATAATGTCCAGCAGAAGGCAGCCTGAGTATCTTTACTGCTTAGGAGGATAACTGCGTGCTTTAAGATGCTGCTTCTAAGCAAGGGGATGTTCAGACGTGCTTTCTAATGAGGGTGGAGAATGTTGCTTAGGAGAGTTTCTTCCGAGAAGGACCAGGCCTCCTCACACTGACCCTGCTTTATGCCAGTTTTTAAAATATTGCTAATTGACAGGAGCACATATATAGAGAATACTGATAAATGTGAGAGGGAGAGTTTACTTACACTTACCTGCCAAGTGGCTAGTAGGCAGGAAGCTGCTGTGATGAGGTGAGGGTCCAAAGGGGGTGGTGGCTGGGTGGGCAGAACCTGTGAATGCAGGAGGAAAAAAGAGGCCTATATTTTAAATATGCTTGTAGAAGACCTCTGGAAAATCACCAAGTGACTGAGCAAGAGACCATGTCAAGAGCTAACGCATTAGCTAGACAGGGTGGAACGCATTAGCTGAGAGACTCTGCATCATTTCTCCTCTGAATGACACATGCTGGTACGCTCAGATGCACAAAAGACCAGGCAGATGCCATGAAAGGCCACGGCCTTCTGAGTGAGATAATAAATTGTATCAGCCTTACAGCAAACCCCGGAGCAGCCCTCTCTCCCTTTTGGCGATCGTTTTGTGGTTGGCAAGCATCTCATTTTGCAAATTGGGGGTTCGAGCATCAGTGATCGGTTGTAAGCTTGCCTCTGGTCATCCCTGCACTCGTGTGCAACTCTCCGGGGCGTGTAAAGGACTGTGAGGGCAGACTGAGCTGCCTGGTCACCTCCAAGGCTGCTGTGATTTGGGGGAAATGCACACGACCCTACCTTTGGCCACCAAGTGTGTCCCACTGTGCGATGCTCGAAAGCTGCTGGAAAAAAACTCTGTGGCCCACACAGTACGGCCGGGAACCCACACGCGAAGGAGGGCCGGAGGGAAGCCGCCGGCACAGCGGGTCCGTTCCCTTTTGGGGGCCTCACTGCTGAGGAGATGGTTTTGTCCCCAATTCCGTCTTCCCGTGGGGACGCCTGCCCGTGGCCATCCGAGTGGGATCCAGGGCAGGGACTCAGGAAAGTCAAGCCAGTCTCCCTGATCAGTGTTCGCAGAGTCTGACATGCAAGTATAAAGGAGAAGCGGGCAGCTGCACCTGATGGTCCAGGTAATTTGGGGGCACTGGTTGTTTGCTTGCCTTTTTGTATCAGTCGCTCTGTCCGTTGCCTCTCCTCTTTGTCATTTCCACCTGAACTCCCACTTAACTTCCACTAAGATTGCCAAAATCAAAATGTGGGGAGCAGTTAAGTTAGGCATGATCAAGGAGTGGGGACTGGGCTCTTACACAAGTCCTTGCAGGAGAGTGTCGAGCAACTGGAAAGCAATTCAGATTTGAACATATGGGAGAGATTAAGATGGGATACTGTCAATCTGCCACTTCAGAACTTTCGAGGGGGTTGCTGGGGAGGGAGGGACAGGTGAGTGGCAATGTTTTGTTGTGGCTTTTTAAACTTGGCGACATTTTTGAGGATTACACATCCTTGTTGCCTAAGATTGCAACGGCAAGCACCAATCCATACCTGAACAGGCTGCCTTATCGGCGCATACAGATCCTACATTGTAGCAATTCAGGCACTTTACAGTCAATGCAAAGAGCAGGGCTCTCCAAGCTTTTGGGATGAGTGGACATATTTAGAATGGTGAAATTGCCACGGGCACAATTTTATGAAGCACACATTCCCTGAAGGCAACCCGATGACACTAACAGAAAAGCTAGCTGCCCGAGAATCCAAGGTAGGAAGTGGGGGGGGGGGGCTGGGCTGGGCTGGGCTGCAAAGCAGAAGGTCACTCCATCGACCGCATGTTTTTTCGCACCAGTGCTTGTTTCACAGAAGGAAGGCTCTGCAGGAATCAGGTATCTGCCCCCACAAAGGTAAAACAGACCCTGTACTTCACACCGGAGGGAAGTCCCATGCCAGGCTTCTTTCCAAATCAACAGCTAATGGACAGCAGCACAGGCAAAAGGCTCCCTGCTCCCCACCCGCCCCTCTGAAGGCCCCAAGCACCGTGTCCCCCGCCCCAGTCCTTCTGCTGTTCTTCTTTTGCCCTTCAATGGCACTCAAAAAGGGGGAGAGCCACCAAAAGGAGACTGAGGACACCAGTGTCAAAGCAGCCCCAAAGCTGCCGCCAAAAGACAGCAAATAAAAATAAAGGGTTAAAAAGCAGATACTAGCTCAACAAGACAATCCTCGTAGCCAAAGCAGAGAGAATAGATGGAAATAAGCATTTTAATTCGATTGTTTCACTGTTACTTTAGGCTGAAAGCGGGACTGCAAATATCGCAATATACCGATACACTGCGAAGAAACTTTTTTCTTTGTTCTCAGAGTGTCACTATTTAATGTATGCCTACGCAGCCTACTGCCTATACAGTCTTTCGCCTCCCCTTTTATGACCGTTGCTGGTATAGAGCGCATATATTCTCATAATCACATCTTTTGCGCATTCAGTACACTGTCCAAAATGGATCCACATCTAGGTTGCGATGAACTATTTGCTGACCTGGCCAGCTCAGATTTTGGGGAAGCAAGTTGGTAGAAAGCCTGCCAGCAGCTCACGCTCTCGTTCAGGTGTCTCCTGGCGTGAGGCATCCTGAGATATTTCAGCACTACTTCCTCTTCAGAAGCAAGTGGTGCTGGCAAGGCCTAGAAGTGAAAAGTTAGAATGGAAGAGCCCGGGGATCTGAGGCTGGACAAAGGAGGCGCAGGGGCCACCGCCAGGGACCTCGCCTCCTGGGGACAAAACATCTGTTGCTCCAGGAAAGGCCCATCTTCTGCCGTGCTGTGCGTTGCGCGGGAAGATCAGCCGCGACCGGCAGGCTGCTCAACAGGAGCGCTGGCCTGCCTTTATTTATTCTTCTCTCTGAAGGACCCAGGATGAGCTTCCCCAAGACCCTCAGGGTTGTTAGGAGCACAGTGTGAAAGCTATTGGCTTTGTCCCACATGGACCTCACCACGGGATGATCGAAAAGTGATCGAGCGAATTGGCTCTAAGCAACCAGAAAATGAGTTAAGAAAACCCCAGAGAGAGACGCCGCCATCGCGAACGGGACCTGGTGTTATCTATAAACATTGCAGCTTGCTCGGCTGCGTCAAGACGGATGGAGGCTGTCATCTCTCTAATCCGCTAGGATTTCAGAAGGTGTGTAATGGATGGGAGAGCTCTTCAAAGGAGACGGCTTACAAACCTGACTACGCGGGGCTGATAATAATAATAATAATAAAGAAAGAAACCTCCGGAGCAAGCCCGGGACAGCACTGCGCTCTGTCAGGTAGTTATTAAATATAACGTTTGCCAGGCAGCTGAGCATCCTACCCGAGAGACCGCCTGGGTCTACGGTAACGTATGTCTTCTGCAGTAACAAGGCAACATGGCAGGACCCATGATTCACACCAGCGACACTCCTGCTCGATAAGGTGAGGAGGGAGCCTCAGATACTGTAAAGCCAAAGATTTATTTGTCTTTGTGCGAGTCACAATGTTTGTTCGCCCTGCTCTCCTCTGATAGCCAACTTTATTGAGATTTAGTGTCCAATGGCTCCTGTGATTAATATACGCACAGATGAGTTGCAAAGGGATTGTTTATCTGGGGCTAAAATGAAGGCTACTGTTAATTTGCCCTCTGTGCAGCACAATCTTATATATGTTTACTCAGAGCTACATTTCAGTCTGTTCAATAGAGCTTTACTCCATTCCTTTTAGAATTGCACCCTTCCTAAGCCAGTTTCTCAGACCCCTTCCCCCTGCAAGAAGCACTCCAGCTCTTCACCATCCAGAACTTGTTCAGACACTCAAATCTGACATCATCTTGTTTAATGGTGTCCTACAAGCATCAAGTAATAACAACAGGACACACTGAAGGGCAGTGCCATAGATCAGTGGCAGAAAACATGTTTCTCATGGAGAATGTGTTGGCTCGACCCCAGGCAGCACATGGAGACCTTGGGGAAATACCAACGGGGCAGGCAGCGGTGGGGCAGACTGAGCTAGCCCCACTTCAACTCGTGGGACAACTTGTCCCACGGAGCCCTTTACACGAGCTGATTTTCTTCCCGATACATCTTCATGCTCAAGCAAAGGGTGGGCAGCGTCCAGTGCTGCCATTCTGCAAACTCAAACAGCACCTGCAGACCACCACCAAGTCTTCCTGTTGCCATTTGTGCCAATGGAATGACGCCTTAGGATACTTCCCAACGAGTCCAAGTAAGAAAACAAGCAGTTGGAAACTGCTCGGTTCATAAATTAAATTGAGTGCTGCAATACTCCACAGCCTCTGCCCAGCAGATACGTGGATTGCTAGAGAGCTGTGATGAACTGCACAAAGTAACAAAAAGCACGGAAATCAGCAAAACCAGTCCTGAGATCACCAACTTTGCTCTCTATTGTTGAGAAGTGTGCAGTCCTCATTATGGTGGAGGATAAACCTTAATGCCTTTTTAAAAGGGTAATGGGAAATAAAAGTATAGTAAATCAAGGGAGCTTGGGTAGTGGATGGGGATATACAGCCAGAAGGGAGGGAGAAGGCAGGGCCAAGCCAGAAAGGGGACAGTTGTGTGTCTGGGGGGGTAGCATTTTTTTTCATGTTGCAAGACAAAAGAGAAGTTTGCCTGAGGCCAAAGCCCGTGACCAGTTTAAAGAGATGGGCTTAGCAAAAAACCCCAAGGCAGAAGGTATACAGATCTCTCTGTTTATAAGATTTCACTGGGGAGAGATGCCTGTTGACCTCACCAGAGTTGAGGAAGGGCTCAGCTGTGCTCCTAATTTGTCAATTCGGAAGACAAAGACTATCTTAATTTGGAAAGAAGGAAAGCAAGCCGGAGAAACGGGACTGCAAAGCCCAGCTACATTTTCTGTACAGACAAAAAGTGACCTTTGAGGCCAGAGGCTCTACCCATGTCGATCCAGTGGTTTTGAGAGGAAGTTTTAAAACTTCCCGGTAACGTTTCCACGTCGCCCACACACCGATCTGCAACCATCCCCTTGACACGGATCTTGCTCGCTTTTGTGCCACCGCCCAGGGCACGCTCAGTCGCACCGAAGCACCACTCACCTGTAGTGGAAAAGAGGGGCCGGGCCAGGTCTTGAGGGTAGTGGAACCCCGGGAACACGCCGGGGGCAGGAGGTCTGCTGAACAGGTCGAGTTTGCCGCCTATTTCGAGTTTGTGGGGGTCCAGCTGCATTTGCTGCAAAGGGATACAAAAAACCATCTCATCATACATTCCCCCCTTCTTCACCAGGGGAAGGGGGGGGGGACGGGGTTGCCAGCAAATGCCTCATACTTCACGCCTGCGTTAGTCCTGCCAGGGAGCGTCAGCCAGAGTGACGGCAGCATCTGCGGTCACACGCTGCGAGACACGCTCTGACAGCAGCCTCGCGTGAGGCCACTTCGCTCTGTGGCTCCTCATCTGCATCCTCCACGAGCGAGGCCCGCCGTGAGCGCTCGGCCCCACGGCGGCGGCTCGGTGGGAGAATGCAACGCGACACGCCGAGCGGCTCGCGCGCCCCGCAGACCGATCAATCTGCAGCCTCATCCGGACACAAGGAACTCGGTGGGCCCAGTGCTGCAGGCTGAGCCAGCCCTCAAGGGGCCGGCCGACAAAAGCCACTCCAGTTGCTTCAGTGCAGGGAGGCAGACAGAAAAGGACAGAGGTCTGTGGAGGCGGCTGCTTTCCTGGGGCAAGGAAACGGCAAGAGGAGGAGGGAGAGGGTGCGGAAAGGAGCCGCGGCTTGCGTTCAGCGTGCCCCACAGGCCCGGGCACCTCCGCTGGCCGGGGTGGGGGAGCTGCCTCTGGCATGCCTCCACACTGGCCGAGGACGAGATGAGCGCCGTGCTAGGAGGACGCGCAGCTGGGCCCGTGGAGGTGAAGCAGAAAGCGCTGTGCTTTCCTTACAAGGCATGGCAGCTATAAGTGAACAATGGAAGGAGGGTATGCGTTCTGCGATCACAGAGAGAAGAGCCGATGCAAGAAAAAGTTACGTTTTGGGGCGCTCCAGGGCTTAGTTATCTGCAAACCGTTCTGAGGGCCATGTGCTGAGGGAACAGTATGTAGAGATTTTAATAAAATGGAGAGAGAGATAACAAGCCTTTCTGCTTCCCTTCTTTTCCTCCTCTGGTAATGCACAGGAAAATAAAATGCATGACGTGACATTGCACTCTGGGGTCTCCCTGTGTAGTTGCTGTTGCTTGTTGGGGTGGGGGGGACAATGTCATGTTACACCTGCTGTACTAAACACTACTGGGGCAGGGAAGAGGAGCTGCCGCCACGGGCTTGCTGCTGGTTTCGGCACATGCCGCACGTCTCTCGCAACGACCAGTTCCGCCTAGACTCAAGAAAAGCGCCTGCTGCGTTGCGCCACCTTGCACAGTCTCAGACGAGCAATGCAGCAACCCTTAAGGAGCATGGCATTTCCCACTGCAGCTACCTGGGAACTGGTGACTAGAGCCATCCAGAAGTCAAGCCCTGAAGCTTCAGCCATGCCTAGCAAATGCTCTGGCACAAAACTATGGCTCTGCCTGGAAATGCGTATTTGCTCTGCCATTCCTTTGGATCCCACTGGGCGTAAAAACTATCACGCCTTGACCATTTCAATAAGTTTGGAATGCTCTATGGAATACTGAATTAAGACTGTTTGAAAGTCAGATACAGACATTTCTAACTTTATTAATTTCTAGAAAAAGGAGCTCTCTCTGTGTGTTTAAAAATAATAGTACACATATTAAACCTGGCAATGTGTGCAGTTCTGTTCAAACCAGGAGAGGCTTTCTGTTGGTTCAATATGAACGGATTTCTTGTTTTTCTGATGCTAATTACCCAGCAATGCCAGTAAATACTTGCAATGAATTAATGAGCAAAACACAAAGCGGTTGCGGTGATGGTAATGGAGAGAAGGGCATAAAAACAACTCATTTGACACTAAATCTGCTTCTATTCAAGGCTTCAAAGATTCTGTGGTTCTGCAATCCCCAGACATCTGTGTGTTGCTCAGCACTCTGCAAACAACTTTTGCAGAAATTAATGGAGCACAGGGCGTTAAACATTTGCATCTGTGGTTGTTGCTCAAACCAAGATTTTGAAGCACAGGTAGTTCTTGTGGCTTCACTAGCAATGCCATTTGTTTCTTCCTCTAGAGACTGACATTATATCCCGCCAATGGACCTCCTCATTTTGGGGGACACGGCCGCTTCCCCAGGATACCACCTGGGACGTTTGGAGCCACCCCCAACCGTTCCACCAAAATTCCATGCATGGCCATTGAGTATCTCTGACGCCAACTGCACAGAGCAAAATGAACCCTCGCTCACACATATTGGGTCTCTCCTTGCAGAATGTGACTACTGTCCTCAGTAGGGTGCTTAGGAGCAGTGACGCGCAGATCACAGGGATGACAGAAGACTCGAGCGGCTTAAAAACCGGTGGATTCTGCAGTTGTCCAAGTGCAGAATCCTGCGGGCGTTAAATGTCTCACTCGGGCATAGGGAGCCAGCTATCCCTACCACGCTTACCTCGTAAGTTCCACAGCACCCCTCCATCCCACCCCTCCACACAACACCGCAGAAGAAAACCCCCAAGCACCTCTGACACAATGACTGTCATTCTACTCGCCTGCTCTATGTTTTGTAAAATGTCCTTCACCGTACCGCTCATTTCACTCTGAACAGGATAACACTCCATATTCCACAGGAGGTACTAGTGCAGAAGGGAAATGATATTAAACACGCGTGCTTCGTACGCCCCCGCCCTCCCCACAAACCTCCCAGTTTTTCTTCTTCTCTTCTCCTTTGGGTTGCATTTTTAATACCTTGGACTTGTTTTGCTACCAGGCTGCCCTGCCCCACCACACAAGCGCAACCATTTTTAGCTCTACGATAGATGTTAAAAGATAGAAAGGCTTAATTAATTCCACACCTTACACATGAAAGCAACACCGTGAGAAGGGACTTGTTTAATCGGGGTGGTGGTAGTGGGAGCATAGCCTGTAAGCCAAGAGGGTCTTGTCTCCAAACGGAGCAGCTCATTTACCTTTATCTTCTGCTGGTGATGGTAGATCTGCCAGGCGATCTGTACATGAACTGCACACCACTTTCCAGGCTTCTGCAATCAAATGGATTTTTTTAAAATGGAGGTGCATCTTCATCTACCAGAAATCATCAGTCAAAATAATCATTGCATATTAGGCAGCTAAAAAACAACTGAGACTAGTTGTCGGTGACGCTGGTAACTGAAGCAAGACGGTTTCTTTTTATCGTTAGGAAATGCACAATTTTAATGTTTTTAATACAAGGTATAGCAATTTTAACAACTTCCTCCGTTGCACACCTGGGGGAAAATCAAACTATATGGCCTCACTCTGCCGTTGAGGCCCGGCTCAGGAAACCATATTATGGGCATCCACTAGTGTTGGGATCCTTTTAGCACGGTCCTCCCACACGAGATTAATTTGCCCAGTTTGGGAAACCATTTTGTTCTGCAGAGCCTTTGAACATGTTAGATAGTAAGGACTGATCCTGCCAAGCTTGATTTGCTGAATGAGAAATTATTTGGTTTTCATTTGTTTTATTGCTTTTAAACGGACCGTGCTTTTAAAAATGTTTCAAATCACATAAAGTAAATGTAGTAAAACAACGTGATAGATAAATAAGGAACACCCCTTATTCTAGTCCAGTATCCCATTTCCCACAATGGGCGCCAGAGAAGCCCACACACGGGATGGGGAGGCCACAGGCCCCTTTTATGTTATCCCTTGCAGCTGGTAGTTGGAAGTAGCTTGCTTAGCATGGATCCTGCCATCATGGCTAACAGCCATCAGCTGGTGAATATATACGCACACATAAAAGAAGAATTTCAGTTCTCACGAGTCCAGAAGACTGCAAATGCAATGATTTTGCTCCTTTAATTCAGGAACTAGATGGCTCTTCTAGATGGCACACTCAAACTGTGATTTACATTATGCAAATTTACTTAACTTGCATAACTTATGCAAGTATTGAGCTTTTCTTGCCACAGGATTTGGATTAACTTGGAAAGGTGAAGCAAAAAGCAAATGCACGGGTTGAAAGAGTACTATTTTATAAGCAGCAAGACTGGTTTATATCACATACCTGCAAATTGTCACATTTACACAAATGATACTTTAATAAAAAGAAGATTTAAAAAATCCCCGACAAACCTTACTTACTCGTACTGGAGCCCGATAGGGATCAGACACCTAAGGGAAGTGTGGAAAAACAGATCAGTTTCCCCTGAAAAGAGGCCCATACAGAGGAAAAATAAGGCATATAATTCAAGAGACGAAGCTGACACAAAGGAGATAAAATAAAGCAGTAAGAGAGTTACTTTGTCACACAGGAACTCTGTCTGCTTTCCCTATTCTGTGTGAAGCAGGAAAGACCCAATGACATTTGCTGCCTTAACACCGAGGGAAACCTGGTTTTGTAAAAGCTGTTGAAAAAAAAGTATGTTTATTTCCCAGGTTCAAAGTCAAAGCTCATTTGTGCTCCATCCAACCTGCATGAATGTTTGTATGACCTTTTGTACAGGAGAGGAACAAGGCCATCACACTGATGGATGGTTTGTCTCCAGTGCGATTCACACACAAGCCTCAGGAAATCAACGGAGAGGTCCAGCCTCTGGGCCTATTTATTTTATTCCATCTACCGACCTGAAATACAGGTCTGTTAAGTGATGATCCAGTTCTTCTTGCTTTCTTTTCAAAACAACCACCATTAACTTTTCCCCATTGTCCATAGTTGCATTCCTGAAAAATTGGCTTACATGAAAATGACAGAACCAAAGGCCACAATTTCTGTTGTACAACAAAACCAGAATATTTGTTTGATACAAAACCGGACGACTGCCACCTCACTGCAATCACGGAAATTACGTTCGAGCTCGTAGCCGTTGAATTAGCAGAAATCTGATGAAAATGGAAGAGAAGTTGGACAGCTCTGGACCTACCCCTGGTGTCTTTTGCAGAAGAGCATGGTGTACTGCACCAGGTCTGCTTGCTACATCGATCGGATTTGAAGTCTACAAAGAAAAAGAAAAGAGCCCAGGAGTTACCTTCTAGTGCCCCAACAGTACTTTGCTGCAACCCTGGCCAACCCCAGGCCTTCTCTGCATGACTAAATTCAGAAATCTAAGATGTTGAGCGACTGGTTTCTCATTGGGTTAATGTGTGAGCTCACATTACAATATTTGGGAGGGAAGCAGAGTTCCCCAAAACGATGAAATTTGCCAAGCTAAGTGGCAGAGCTAGGGGCTGAGCCTGCGTTGACTCAGCCGAGGAGGAGAGGCCGATGCTGAATCGGGCACATGGGCTCTATCCTGAGAGTCCCAGTGAACGTTTTAGTCCCCGTGTCTGCAGAGATACACTTGGAGTTGCGATGGACCCCTGGGGGGAAAACAATCAGCGTACGATGGGCAGCGTCGGTTCTGTTCATGTGAATGTGCTTCCATATTTGGCAAGGGGAATCTTGCAGATTAAAAGTTGGTTAGTTTATCTTCCTGGCTATTGTGCTGTCCATTCTTCAGTAATGGCATTCCTACTTTGTAATAATTGTGCGTGTGCATCATTTTGCTTGTGAATCCATTGACCACGAGACCTTGCTAACTTCTGCTAATTGCTTTAGCAGAAGTTAAACTGTTCCCTTTGTGCTCATGTCTCAAAGCCACCCATTCACACGAACTGCATCACATTTTCACACGTATATATGGATACAAATGGACATGCTGAGGGGGTTTCAAAAACATTGCTAGATTAAAAATCTGGGACTACTTTTACTGGAGGAGCAAAGGTTTCAGGCAGGGCAGCAAAGGTTCTTTCTTGCCTGGGGTGGTATTCTGCCCAGCAATTAGCAGAATGGTTAGCTAAGCTCCAAGGTAATGCATCCACCTGGCTGTAGTGATGTGACGTTCCCTTGTTCTGTATCAGTTGCTGGAACCTTGTCTTGGCATGTTGGAAGGCATGGGGCTTAAAGCCAGCAATCAGTCTTTTCCTTCCCATGACATTGCACCTGTTGTCCTCCAAAATGAGTGCAGGAAGTTTAGCCAATTCCCCAGCTAGACATTTATCCCATGATGCAGGCCAAATAGCTGTCAGATTTCAAACAGTCGGGCTTTAGGAACAATGGATGAACATACTTCTGTAATTTAAGTATGACAGGTCAAAGGTGGTTTGAAAAGTTGAAAGCAAGGGAAAAAGCCCAATGAACCTAAGGATCTGGAATTGTGTGTGCAGATGAGCAAAACAAACAAACAAAAAGATTTGCCCGTGAGTGGAAGGCCTGTCAGGCCCCCTTTGCAAACTGATGGGAAGGGAGGCAAAAATAACAGCTACGATGCATTTTAAGGTCACATCACATTAATAGTGTGAGTGATCGAGTGCCCTTTGGTCCTTTTGTCCCCCTGAAGACAGATGGAAATGCTTCCTTCGGCAGAGTAAATTGAATACTTTTGACCTTTTCAAGTTCTTAGCTCATGAGAAATGGCCTTTGGGAAAGAGCTCAGAAGTTTGCAGTCAGGTTGGATTCATGTGGTGGGATTTACATACGAGGCCTCGGGGAAGAGACATGAGAAGTGGGGAAGGAAACAAAAACAAACTCTTTCTTCACAGGGCCAGGAGGACGGAATCCATCACCGCACGGCCAGCCACTGAACGTGTCCGTCATGATGATCTAGGGCTTGAGGCGGCAGCCACATGGGAGCAAGAGGAAAGTTTGGGAAGAAAACGGGCCGGGATGATTTGTGTGGCTTCCCTGCTCTGCTCCAAAGACGTCAGCGTTGTCCTTTCTCAGAGGAGATGAATCATGGCTGCAAGTTGGAGGTAATTTAGGTGCATCCACCTGCTCCCGGTTCAGCCAAATAGAGCGGCAAGCGCTGTGAAGAGGGGGACGGGGTTTCCCCATGGAAAGAGTTATAGGGAGTGAAAAAGCCCTGGCCAGCTTGGTGCTTCTGTACACGACATGTACAGAAACACTCAGCCTGCCATTCCTTCACTGCTCCTATTATTCATTTCGCCTCGTATTTGTGGGTTGCACAGGACTTCAGCCTGGCCCAGTGCTGAGCTCATCTATCCTTGATGTAAACCGGTTGAAAGTATCATAGGGTGTTGTGGAATACATCAGTCTTGTTTCGTTATCAAGGACAAAGGTGTTGAGGTTGATCCGTATGGGCTGTGGATGGCTTATGGCAAGCCAGGATTCGTTTCTCTGAACCCAGATGGAATCCGCATATCGTAGGTGGCCGTGTCGTTTTCGCACATCTGCTGACAGATACGGGATGGCTTGGCACAAGATAACCAGCTGCCTTGTGCAGAATGCATCTGGGTTGGCGGAAATCGAACCAGCCAAAGTAGCGAAAATAGATGGTGCTTTTTGTTACTGTGCCCGTTCGTGCGAATTATCAGACTGCACTGCCACTGTCTCAAGCAAATTTGTGATGTGTGAAGGGAGCAATTTCTTAATAAAATTCTTTTCTTCCAAATATTGGGTTAAACAGAAGCTCAAGTCCCCTCCAAGTTCATGCGATGCTCTAGCTGGGTGAGTCTTGGTCTACAGATAAAACCAGGCAGAAAAAAGCAACTTCAGGGGAAGCAGCCCATGGGTTTGAGCCATGGCAGCCTTGGTGCCTCTACTTATGACCAAGGCACATTTGGTAAAGTCCTGGCACAATCAAATACGACCTTTGTGGCTGTATTTTTAAGAACGTAAGAACAGCCACGGTGGATCCTTCTAGTCCGACCTCTGCTAACACAGTGGCAGGCCAACTGTCCATGGGAAAACCCCTAGCAGGACCCTATAGCACCCCCCACCCATGTTCCCCAGCATAGGCATACCTCTGATAGGGGAGTGAGCACACAGTCATCAGGACTAACACATGGTAGCCATTAATAGCCATTTCTTCCATGAATCTCTCCAGTTCCCTTTGAAAACTATCCAAATTGGTGGTCGTCCTCGCACCTTGTGGAAGTGAATTCCCTATTTTAACCATGCACTATGTGAAGAAGAAGTTTTTTATCTGTCTTGAATCTCCCACCGATCCGCTTCACAGGATAACCTCAGGTTCTAGCGTTAAGACAGCTGGGAGAAAAAAGTCTCCCCTCTCCACTTTCTCCATGCCATGCATAACTTTGTGCACCACTAACATATCTCCCATTTTTTTGAAGCTAAGCCACCCCAGATGTTCTAACCATTCCTTTCAGGGAAGTTACTCGAGCCCTTTGATCATTTTAGTTGCCCCTTTCCGCACCTCACCCAAGTCTGCAATATCCTTTTTTAAAGTCAGCTGACCAGAACTGCACATCATGTGATAACATGATAGATGGTATAATGGCAGCATTATTGGCTGTTTTATTTTCAGTTTCTTTCAGTTCCTTAAAGATGCCTAAAATGAAATCTCCCATTTTCACAGGAACTGTACACGAGATTGACATTTTCATCAAGCTGTCTACACGTATCTTTGTTTAATCCCTGCTAATTGAGATTCCTTCGCTTATACTCAAATGTGGGATTTTTCTTGGTCCCATCAAGCATCACTTTATGGATGCTTACACTGAACCACATCTGCCAGGGAGGTTCTGGGAAGTAAACTCGTACCTCTGCAAATACAGTACTGCTTTCTCATATACATAGTCACTGACCTCAAACAGCAATAAATCCAGCCACAACTGACCCAGGATTCTCTCTTAATAAGCCTAGTTCGATTATAGATGATCCTATTGAATGCTTTCATTCCATGTACACCACCGTGCAATCCTATTTGGGACAAAGGTGCACTCGATACAAATGAAAAATGGATGAATGAATATTGCCCTGAAACATCTTATCTCAGAGCAGATCCACATATTATGCAAAAGAAGATTGTAGAATTCTGCACCAGAACGTTTGGTGGGCAAGTGTCCTGCTTTTGAATACATGGTCCCTAAAAGCAAATTAGGCCCCTTCGTTCAGAAAAGGGCGTGGAAGAGCATTTTAGATGAGCCTGCTTCCTTTGCAGGCCAGAAATGACCTTGGGAGTATGAGCAGAGGCGTGTGACCATTACAGTAACAGTTGTTGTATTCCACAAGTCCTGCAGTTTCCATTCATGAATGCCAGCACAGAGTAGAGAGGCTCCAGGTGAACCCCCAAGCTTGTCGCTCATACTGCAGCCTATCCTCCTGTACATAGAGAGGAGGAGAGCGAGAGAGCACCAGTGTAACAGATAGCGACCCTGCCGCTTTTCCAGAAAGCTCTGACTTTTATCTCGGCACAGAGATCTGTTTACAGAAATGCCCGTGATTTCCAAACACCATCACATAGGAATGTAGCTTTATCACAAGCAAGTATGTGCTCCATTTTTATAAGGCGCCATCAGTAACTGTCAGTATTTTATGAATTTTCTCTTCCCTTTAAAGATGGCCTGAAGGTTCCAGTGCATTTTTACAAATTAAAGATATTGCGGATTGGAGGAAAGGAATCTTGAGCCTGGAACCACCTAGAAACCGTCTGTGTCCTGCTACCATATCACCCAAGAGTACATCCCAGTGCTGCACCTGGCTAGAGTGGCACAGTTTTGTCCTGCTCGTTTAATGCAGCTCCCCTGCACCTTCCTGCATTTCCTTTATTACCGGTTCTGTGTCCGTCAGTGTGCCAAAGATTCGAGGCCCCCATCAGAGCCCAAGGGAGTTACCTTCTGGATTATGAACGAGATTCCTCCGATATCCGTAAAGCAATACCAGTGCGGAAGGCTAGCCCAGTTCTTTGCTTCGGGGCACGGCCTTTCCCCACCAGCCATCAACACACTGCTTTGCACCAACGCTCAGACCCTAGGGCCTAATCCTGTGCCCTGATTCTTCCGCACAGCAAAAGACTCAAACTTGGAGGCTGCCCAGTCAGCCCCACCTCTCCAACAGAGCTTTCTTCTCAGGTTAGTTAAATGTTCTGCATGGAGTGTTTGTATTAACTGCTAGGCTTTAAAGCTGTGCCAGAATTTGAAATTCTTTAAGAGAACGTGAGGATGGGAACACGTAAGTTGCGGGGGTTCTAAGCTCCCATTCCTTTATTGAGGGTTTGAATTCTAATGCTGTTTTCCAAAGAAAAGCAGGCATATATTCTAACCCTCCGAACCAGCTTTCTGCCAGACGAGGCTGCCTGCGTTATTTGCACTTGGCTTTTCTATATGACACTCGATTCCGACGGCAGAAGAAGAGCTAATTGCAAACAGAGGCTGCAGCTTAACTGATCAATTTCACAGATGGTGCGGTTTCTCCTGGTCAGTTTTCAGTGCAGCTGTCAATTTGATGACCGGTTTGAGAGCGGCTGTGGTTTCAGGACCATTCGGCACATACTGTATCTTGTGCCATACTGGTGTGTGTGTGGGGGATTCAAACCTCATGCACCACATCACAACGCAAACGCATCCACGCCACTGCTTTTGCCTTGTGCGCACACATGCAGAATCCACTGCCAGCGGCTCCTTGATGAAGAAGCACATCCCATCTCGCCCCTCCCTTTATCCCTTTGTGAGAAGTGCAAGAAATCCTCAAGGAGACATGGCTGCTGCCAACCTGCACCTCCCCATCCAATCCACCAAGGGGCTTGTGTAATGCAACATCAGCACACTCGGAGTTTCCGCCCTGCCCGGGTGGGGAAAAGGCAGAGACTCGGCTTTTCGAGCCCGTCCCAGGTTGAATCCTCTCCATCTCCAGGCAGCACAAGGAAAGCTGCCTGAAATTCTGGACAGCTACGGCTGCCAGTCAGTGTTGACAATACTGGTTCTAGAGGGATGCAGGGTCTAATGCAGTGTAAGTCATCCTATTCAGCTGTCCCTGTGATCTTTATGACGTGTTTCTTGGAGGACACCGGGAGGCCCCTGCAGGATCAGTCCAAAGGCGACCCAGTCCAGGGTTCCGTGGCTAGCCAGTTGCTTGTGAGAAGACCACAAGTGGGACACAGAGGCACCAGCTTTCTCCTGCGGTGCCCCAGTAAGAAAACTGGGCCGGCTGTGATGTGTCTCCCCACATTCTCCCAAGCCTACTAGCAGGCCCTCATGGGGCACTCTGGTCAGAATTGCTCGGAAGGGATGGAAAAAGAGTTTTCTCCTGGAAAAAGCCACCCGGCACATGCACATGTACCACATTTCAACGTTCCAGTGACATGTTCCGATCGTGATTCTTTGCCATTGAAGAACAAAAGACGATGCATAAATAATACAACCATAACAAGCTTGTACCTTCGGCTGAAATGCTCCCTGAAGTGACCCGAAAGGACCTGAATGTGGAAGCATAGGTGGCATTCCAGGCATTGCCGGAGGGTAGCTTGGAAAGAACTAGGAGAGGAGGAGGAGGAGAAAAAGAAGGGAAAAGGCACTGTTATTATTACATAATCATGGATGCATGAGACCATTTCGGGCTGACTCTCATGGACATTTTGTTAAAAACATCTGCGATGACCTGCAGTGACTGGAATACCGGCATGCTATCAGAACTCTTCATATTGCAAGGAGAACGTAGGAACAGCCCTGCTGGATCAGGCCGGCATTCTGTGCAGCCCAGACAGCACTGGATAATAAAACATCCAACTTGATGGCTGTCTCACTACATCCTGTTCCCAATTTCACCTGCGTTCTATGTAACAGAGTAACTCTTTTTTATCCATGCTGCATTTCCAGGCAGTTGGCTTCATGGAATGGGGGAAAGGTGTCCTCGCATTAGGAGAGACAGAGGGTAGAAAGCATCACTGTTCCCTTACCATGCACAATATTATGTTTCTATTTTATCATCTCTCTCCTTACTCAGCTCTTTTCTAAGCTAAACAATCCGAGATGTTGTAACCTTTACTCACAGGTTAGTTGTACCAGCCCCTCAGTCACTTCAGTTGCTCTTTTCCTCAAATCTGCTTGTGATGACCAGGATTACATGCAGTATTTCAAGCTGCGCTACAGATTTGTATCAGGGCAGGATGCTACTGGCACCAAATGATGCCCAGGGCATCACGCCGGCACCGAAAGTTAACATTCATGTCTGTAAAATGGGAACAGCTGCACCAAGGGCACCTGCTTAGCATGCTTTTGAGAGCCAGAGGGAGTGGCAGCAAGCTCTAAGGTGCCCTTTGTCTTAGAGTTCATCTTCACCGCCTCGAGGGCTAGAAATCTGGCTGATTTTGCAAAAGGACGTGCGAGTTAGCATTTGTGACAATGGATCACGGGCAAAAAGCTGCAAGCCTTGTTTTGCACCCGTGTTCATCGTGGCAATCATTTTGGAATGGCTGATAAGCAAACTTGTCTGACCTGGCCAGTGTGGTGTAGAGAGCCAGTGTGGTGTAGAGAGCCAGTGTGGTGTAGTGGTTAAGAGCATGGGACTGGGACTCAGAGGATCTGGGTTCGAGTCCCCGCTCGGCCATGGAGCCAACTGGGTGACTTTGGGCCAGTCACAGACTCTCAGCCCAACCTGCCTCACAGGGTTGTTGTTGTGGGGATAAAATGGAGGAGGAGATGTAAGCTGCCTTGAGCCCTTGGTAGGAAAAAGGCAGGATATAAATCCAAAAAAAAAAAAAAAGCAGGGTAACACCAGGCCACGCCTGTGTTTTCCATAGGCCTCTTTAAGGCCAGGTTACCAGTCCTCAAGGGAAAAAATTCCACGTGCTTTCCTTCACAGAAAGCACATTTGTGGTAGGTCGCTCCGTAGGCAATAAAGTCCATGACACAACGGAGGCTCTTTTAACATGAATGAAATTGTTTCATTTTTACCAGAGGGGGGAAATTAGTCTCTGCTATCATTCTTAATTCTGCCATTACAGGCCTCCTGCAAAACATGCCACTTTAGCAAGTGCGAAAGCAGGCCTGCCTGGCATCTTTAATCTTTATCTGCCTCCCAGTTACAAGGTAATTACACAGTTGCCAGCCATGAAGTCCACTATTATCAACACACGCTTTTAATTTTCCACAGTCTGCAGTCTGATGCAGCGCCTGATAAAAGGGAATGGCGAGGCGAGGAGAGCACCGAGAGGGTGTTGTGGACGGGCTGGTCTTCTGGCAGGCACTGGCTCTTTCTTAGGATTCTTAAGACTCCCACCAGCTCAAAAAAGCATCCATATTTCTCTAATATATTCACTCAAATGATGCGTTGAAATACGTAATCTATTTAGAGCAGAGCCCTCACAAAGCAGTGCCTAGCATACAAATAGAGGATCACAACTAGCCCCCCCCGCCCTGCCAAACCACTTTGAACTCCCCCCCCCAAAGAAAAAAAGCAGTAAGAACAAATAGCAATATTATGGCCAAGCAATAACAATAAATAACAAGATCTACGACTAAAACAAAGCAACACCAACATGCTTATCAAAAAATCGCAAGCAGATTGTGAATGCCTTTTTGAAGCTTGCCAATGGTGGGACCACATGAAGCTTGGCCAAAAATAGATTTCCATGACTGGGGGGCCACTGCCCAGATAGGCCCTGTCTCATGTGTCCGTCGACGCAATGGCTGGCCATGCCTCCAACCATTATTTCACGTGGGGGGGGGGGCGGATATTGGGTATTGGCAGCCCTTGAAGCAGGTTGGATCAGGTTGATGGTCATACCTTGCATTTCAGGTAGACCTAGGGCATCACTGGCCCCTGGGACAATACTGGTGTCGTGCGTTCCGTCCTATTTCAGGAACCAGGAAGAGCAAGGGTCTGACATGCACCTGGAAGGCCCTCCAAGCGGCTTGTCTGCATTTCCAGGTTGCGCAGAAGGAAAGGTGTGCACAGCCTTACCTGCATCGTTCTTGGACTGTCCAAATTATGGCATCTGGACGGGTGCAGATGCGGCTGCATTGTCTACAGAACATGCAGGAAATACGTCACAGCAAGGCTTTCAGGACTCCGGCTCTCAAGTGCCGGAGCTTGCGTGAAGGAGGTCCTTTGCCACTCCAAACAGAGTTGTTGGACAAGGTTGTGTGGGTCCAGTGATGGCGAGGAGGAGGAGGGTTTGGCTGCCAGCACTGCCACAGCTTAAGCTCAAAGAGGGGTTCTCACTCATACCTGATTGTATTTGCTGCGGTCATTGCCCTCAGCAGATCAGAATACCAAGGAGCCAGGACAGCTCTGTTCCTGGGCTAGGATATGTGGGGGAGATAAAATCAGTGGCCTGAGTCCTTCCTCCCTTCCTTCCTTCCAAGCAGAACCCAGGGTCTTGGCAGAACCGTGGGCCAAAGTGGCTAGAAAATACCACTGGGACGACACAAAACCATCTGGGTTCATTAGTCTCCAGGCCCAATAAAAAAGACATTATTGCTTTTGCATTCTGTAATCTCTGACACGGACATGGCAACAGCTGTTTGCATTATTTTTTACTTCATAAAGGCTTTGATGGCTTTTTATCAATGGGGTGTTTTTGAAATTTACAGAGGAAAGGAAGTTTGCTTTAAAACAAACATAAAAGGGACTGGCAGGCTATTTAGGCATACAGGCTAGTTCCCATCTCGAGAGAAGAATTTGATAATGATAAATTATGAAAACTGATGATGTATTTTCATGGGATATTCTTTTAAGAGAGTGGAGTTGGACTGGGCTGGACACAGCTGCTGTGTAGAACGGATGCACAAACATCAGAAAGAATGTGTTTTAAAACTAACTCTGCTGCATTAATGTCCTTTTGGAACTATCAGCTGGAATTGCACAAATGCCTGTACCCCGGACCATCTTTTTAATTAGGGACTGACTTGCTTAATTTATCAATTGTGCAGAGGAACAAAAATGGAAGGAGCTACAAATACTCTGTGGAACAGCCTTCACATTTTAAAATAACTGTGTTAAGCTGCAGAAAAATGTGCTGAACATAACAAAATGCATTTATCACCTGCACATTCTTGGGATAATGTGAGTTTTGTATAAGTAAATACAAATGCACAAGATGGGTAAGCATGTTATAAGTATCAGTGGGTCACAACAGTGTTGATTAGGTCTGCATTATCCAAAAGAGTGCTGTATAGCTGTGGAACGAAACAGAACTACCCCGTCTTGCACTGTTGTTTTAGGTGCTAAAGCTGAAGGACTATATGGAGGAACACATAAATTTCCTCATGAAGGTCCTAGTCCTCATGAAAGTGATAAAACTGTCTCTGGTCCTTACCAATGCAGCCTGCACGATTCCTTGCTCTTTCATATGGACATATACAACTCAAGAAGAGTTCTAGCTGTCAGTTGTAAAAGTGTAGGGAATATTTCAGGATAAGGAAGTATTCAATCTCAACTTGACAGCCAGAAATGGTACGTACAACCCCAACCCGGATTCACAACCTCAGTAAGAATTAGGCCTTACAGAACAGCAGCAAAGCCTGGCTTTGAAACAAAACCTGTGAACAAAAGCTCAACGAACTGGAATTGTTTGACAGAAGAGAAAGGAATGTTACTATTTTACAGTTCTAGAAGTTTATGGTATGTTTGTAAAAATAAAATTAGGGGGAAAAGCACAGACATTTGAAGAAAGTCACAGACAGAGCTATGAGTTACTGAGTCAAACACCCATAAACAGCAGCAAGTACAAACACAGAATGATCCTTCCTTAAAAAGCAAAGCCCACAAAACACTCACGTTGGAATGTCGAAAATAAGGGTTATCAAGTTTGGGAGCGTACTTGTCGAACTGGAAGAGAAAGAGAAAGAAGACAAAAGAGTGAGTTTGCTTTTCTGCAGCTCTGGAATGCAGTCTAAACATAACGAAACACGTCCCGCCATATGATACACTGCAGAACTAGCTTTGCTTTGTTGTTTTTTTGTTTTGTTTTTTTAAGAGCACCTGCGTATCTTTCACACTTCACGGCCCTCTTTAAACCTGTAAATGCACAGTAGCGGAGTAACACATTCGGGCCGCTAACACAAATCGTCCTCGCCATCTATGTCTTCCATCAAGAGCCCAGTGAACACCCTAATTTATTTCCAAAAGTGAGGCCCTAGACTATGGCGATGTGAGCTGCAGCAGAGCAGAGCATCAAGTCTCATCAGGCCACGCTGGCATCCTACTTAACCTTTGCCTATCTTTTTCACATGAGCAAAGAGCGCTTGGAACTGTCGTCATCTGTCTTCACGGCAGCCCTGCGGAGCGGCGCTCATCACGGCCCTCTGTGTGATTTGCTTTCAAGGCCCTCCTGTGAATCCATCACCTAGTTTTAATCCAGGGCCAACAGTTTCGCCCGTAAGTGCTCTGGTCTGGGTGCCACCTAATCATCCCTCATTGACACTTCCCCTCGATCATTCCTATTAGAGATTTCTAGCTCAGCTCCACCAGCTCTTTGTGAAGGAACGTAACCGCTAGGCAAGGTTATTATACAGACCCATCCACCATGGATCTGGACCCCAAATTCTCTGTCCTGGTCTTTCCGCCCGTCTCAGGCCAGTGAGCATCTGACCTGTGCTGCCATCGGCATTCTTAGCATGCCCTTTGAAGAATGCAAGTATCTTAGCCCTAAGCCACAGGGAGCTGTGTTGGGGGGGGGGGGCACGGGAAGGTGAGCAATGACCCCTTTGAAATGGCACTCATTCGGCAAGCCAGCTGTTGTTGTGTGCTTCTCCTCCATCCAGGAGAGCAGATTTGCAATTGTGTTAATTACAGTTATTACTGGAGTCATGTACCCTCCAGTGTAAATACCATAAATTACTAAAACACATGCAGCTGGCAGTTTCAACACCACCCGCTCCAGCATTAGGATTAATAAACCCATTTAGTGGAATATAAGAAGATGGGAGCTCAAACGTAACAAAAGAGGATGTGGCAACACTGTTTGCACTCTTTCCCCTGACATTGACAGGGTGCGGGTGGGCGGAAAGGAGCTTTTCCAGCAAGAGCGGATGGCAGGATTCTTAACTTGCCAGCCCTTCACGGGAAAAGTCTGAGATGGCTTTATGCTAAAAAAAAGGGGGGGGGGAAGAGAGAGAGAGAGCGCGCGCGCGCGCGCTCCCTAAGACAGGGGGCAGAGGCCAAATCTTGCTTTATGCAGTGGAGAAGAAGTAAATGCCGCCTTCCATGAGACAAGGTGCTGGAAAAGGACCTTGATACCCTCTCAAAAGCCGAAAGACACAGCAGCACGGGCACGTCTAGGGCATGGGGATTTTCTGTTGGCTTGCAACATGTGGGCCCTGCTTACGGCTTTGGTATTCCATCAACCAAGGCCTCTTTGGGCCAGCCAATGACTAGATATGGCATTATGAATGAAGTGGAAGGAGCGGGGTGAATGGCTTCCTGCAGAAACAACACGGACCGCCCAGGTGGCCTGTCTGGGAGGAACTTTGAAAACAACTTTGGTCCTTGAAGAGGTTCCCTGTCTTGCGCAAACATTCAATCTTACACTTAGCATGATCAGTGTTGGGAAAGCGGAGACCGGTGTATCATTTCTGGAATTGCCCAGTCAACCATTAAGTCCACAGAAGCCACAAGGGGATAATATTGCATTGGATGGTAATGAATATTTAAACCAAGCAACACAGGCAAATTGTGATGGCAAGATGGCAGGTAGGATGGGGAGAAAGGTGGCAACAGGGAACATCCTGTCCTGAAAATCCCACTGGCCTGGCCATTTCTGTCGTGATCAATCCATGCATTGCTACCAAGGCGCCTTCCTGCAATACCCCATGTTGATGCGCCGCATAAATTTGCTTTATTTATCCAGTTTTGCATTTATTTGCTGTCCCTCCACTCCTAATGGAGCCTCTGGAGTACTTCCCATGCATCATCTCCGTTAAAGGCCTATTTGTCTCGGAGGCTGGAGGGGAGCTCCTTTTCAAGCTGCTTTTTAAATGTAGGGACAAGAAAACATTGCAAACCAGCACGTGAGGACTGCACAACTGTGCGCACACATTCTCTTTCCGAGAGGCTGTTCGGTCAGCTGCCCAAAGGGCGTAAAGGCAGGAGAAACGCATGACCCTCCCCCATACAGATCCCCCTGGAAACAGACCCCGGCAGCAAGTCTGCAAACAGCAGCCCTCGAGACCCAGGAGCAGGCTCTAACCCCAAAAGCCGAGCATGTCTTAAACGCTAGTTTGGAAGGGTGCTGCTGGTCCCACGCTTCAAGCAGCGGCTTGCTGGGGATGCCAGCAGAAGCGGAGGGAGGCATGGCTTCCTCCGCCTTTCCTGACAAGAGCTGGTGCTGGTCGGGTTTGTCAGCCAGACGGGCGTCTACTTATCCTCGCCTTCGGGGAGGGGGTACGCACCAGGGGAGGTGCGGAGGGCGGCATCTGGGGCAGACTGGACGGAAAAGGAGTGAATGTGTGCTGGTGGGTGTGTTGGTGCTGGTGGGTGTGTTGGTGCTGGTGGAACTCTGCCCTCTGCAGCGGCCCCGGGCCGAGGGGGGCACCAGCCCTGTCCGAACTCTGAACCAAAAACCGATTGTTCAGCTCTTGCCTGAGCAGCTCGTGATCTAGAAGAGGGGAGGGAGGAGAGAGAGGGGGGGAGGGGGGAGAAGACACAAGGGCACAACAGCCGGTGAGTTTCGCAACAACGGAGAAGTAAAAGCGTCAAGATAGTCACCTGGCATTCCCTGTTTCGGCAGGTCATGCTGTGGTGGTTTTCTACGTGAGGACTCATTGGTGGAGGTAAGAGAGATGCCTGTGACAAAGTACCAATCAGAATCCCCGAATGAGGCTGGCAATACATGATTGGTTGGTTGAATGATATCAACAGGCTGGTATCTAAAGACAAGAAAGAACACCATGAGTCATCACAGCAGAAAACATACTGGGGCGTCAACAACCGCTCGGCCCGCCCCCACCCGCCTCCCAGCCCCGAGGGTGGCATGTATGGGAGGGCACCGGGGTCCCGCGAAAGGCCCCCCAAGCTTATCTGCCTGCCTTTCCACCCCGCTGCCGTTTACGCGTCGTGCACAGGGCATTTCCCCTAAATGGATAAATTGGGGGAAACATACACACGGACACGATCGCTCATGAAGCACAGCACCCAGAGTTCTTTTGCTAGGGATGGATGGACTGGGGAAAAGACAGCCGTCATGTTAAAACATGCACGCACGCATGCACACACACACTCACACAAGTGCCTCAATACAGAGAGGTCCCTTTCCAAACAAACGGGATCTGATTCCTTTGATTTTTACCCTGCTCTTCAAAGTATTCCCATGGCAGCTTACAGCAAATTTAAAATTACAAGAAATCATGTTAAAATGAAAATATAGTTGGAAACCCAGTTGTATCTACATAGACAGTGCTAGTGTGGAGTATTAACGTGCAACTAGCTTTTTCGGGAAATCTGCTGTTTTGTGCAAGGAGCTTCTTTTGGTCGCTAGTAAAGGGGAAGCCTGGCTCTCTGCCCAGGCCAGCCGTGGCGTCCTAAAGGTGCGGGCTCTGGATTTGTGGGAACACTGCCCCCGCGGCATCCTGCTCCAGGTGAAAAGTCAGGGGGTATGGAAGTTATAGACGGCTTGGCAAGTTTGATAAAAGCTGTCTGTAAGACCACCCATTCGGGTGAAATCCTATTTGATCTGATTTGGTTATTCTATTTGTATTTGACCATCTTTCCTGCAAGGAAGTGAAGGCAGTTTATATATTCCTACTCTGTTTTACCCTCACAACAAGCCTGTGAGGTAAGCCGGACTGCGTGCCGGTGAGCAGCCTAAAACCAGCCAGTGACCTTTGTGGTCCGGCGGAAATGAGGACTTGGCTCTCCCAGCGGTGAACTGCTGTGCCACGCAGACCCTCAGGCGAGGAGTTACAGGGCTTTCCCTGTCTAAACATGCACAGGATTTGGCCCTTACTCCCCTACACTGTATTTCCGGGGTAAAGATCCAAGTACAAGTTCCCTTGCTGCGATGAAAGGGCAAGCCTGCGCCGTGGGCACCCAGTGTGCCGTGTGCCTGGAGCAGGCGTGGCCCAGAGTGCAGTTCCCGATTAGTATCAGGAAAAAACCGGGAGGGCTGGAGAACTGAGGCCTGACTCAAGACACGAGATACTTCCGCTCGCATCTAGGCAATCCATTTTGTGTTTTCCTGGAGCATGGGAGAAGGAAAAGGGCAATGGATTTAAAAGCTGGCAGCTGCAGGACTCGGTATCTGGTTTCTCTGACGCCCTGAAGCCAGCTGGGAGGACCTGCAGCTGACTTTGAACTTCACTGGGGCATCGCCGCTTTGTCCCCGTCGGCGCTGGGGACAGCAGGTGAGGGTGCGCTGAAGCCCCCGCAGGAGCCGAGCCTGACTGGCGTGTATTTGGTGGGGCTGGCTCGCGAGAAGGGGCCACAGCGCGTGCAGAGGCTCCCCCACCCGGAGCTATGCAGGGGATTGCTCCAGTCGCTTACGGAAGGTGGGTGCACTGCGGCCCCACAGAGCACTAGCACGTGGCCATTGCGTGGAACTGGGTGCAACGCCAAACTTGTGCTGCGCTTTGGAGCATTTAAAACGTTTCTCATAGGAATGTGCAAAGCTGCCGCATTTCTGGCTATCCTTTGCAGAGCATCCCCCAAAAGCTCCAGGAAGCACAGCCAACGGTCAGGGACGATGGGAGTACAGCTGCAGAGCACCAGGCTGCCTACCCCAAGCTCCAGCATGTGCCCGTCTGGACCATGACGGTTTGCTCTAACTGGCAGTGCCTCCCAGGATCTCGGGCTGAGCCCCTCCCTGAGGAAGGTGCCTAGTTCAGGGCTACGCTACATACTTCGGGGGCTTTTAACCAAAGACCCCAGGAACTGAACGTGGGCCATACATGTGGAAATCTTACGCTCAGCCACTGAGATGCGCTTGCTCCCCAAATGCACCCCCTTGCCACAAGCCTTCTGAGGTGTTCTATGGCACAACTGGATTATTCTCTTCACAGGGCAGGTGGGGGCCTCGGGGGGAAAGGGGTGAGTGCCCGTGGTTCCATGGAGGGAACCACGGGCACTCACCAAGCCAAACCAGTGACCTCCAGATGCCTACGCCTGGTTTCAGGGCCTGAACGCCTTCGGCTCGCGGAACACCAGGCATCAGATTCTCCAACATGCACCTCACGTCACCTGCCTGAGCTGGAAAATGCACCCTCTGGTTCTGGGCTTGCATACAAACCCATTGCTACAGCCTGGCTCAATAGGGGCTCAGTTCATAAGCCACACCAAGTGATGGTTTTTATTATAAACATACCGAAGAATCCAGCTCTGAGGCAACAGTGGGCAAGCCATGGTTTGCAGCTGCCTGCCTGCTTTCATTTGCTAACCCCTCCGCTCTTGTTTCAAGGGGTCACTCCCATTTCCAATGCATAAAGAGCCTCTTCAGGGGACACAGCATCTCTGGTCGTGGCGTGCCAACTTTCGCGTCAACAGCAAACCAGTTAGCACGAACCACAGGCTGCAAGCCAGCTGCACGCCACAGCTCAAGAGCACCTCGCAACCTATTTCTGAGTTTCCTTTAACTTCAACATGGAAGAAACTGTGGAAGGAGCAGGTCGCCTAGCCCCTGGCCCCAATCCTGCTCCAGCTAAGGTCTCTAAAGTGTCAGAGATGAGTGGCGGGCTTCTCTGAGCCCCTCCTTTCAGGATGGGAACGGCAGCCGCTCAGCCTAAAGCTGTTCATAAGGACTGTGGATTGACCTTTAGGTCCAGCCCTTTCCCAAAGGGACGGCGGGAACGCGGGGGCAAAGAGGAAGCCACCACTTCTTCTAGTGGCTATTCTCTCCCCACACACCTTTCCCATATATTAACGGGGTTTCGTCGGAAGCAGGAGGGAGGGGCTGGTGTGACTGCACGTCCACTTTAATCCCCGCCGGGTTAGTTACAGTGTCAAATGCCGGATCAAAAGGGGGCCCAGTGGACAAGAGGAGCGCAGAAGTTTCCAGCTGCCACCAGAGCAGCTGTGGGCTAGTGGGGAAGCTGTAAAAGGGATGCTGAACAGGCTGGAGCCGAAATGCAGGCATATTTAAGGATATGCAGGGAACCTTTCAAATGTGGCTGGAAAAAAATAAGGTTTTTCTCCAGCTCCTTCCTCCTGAAATGCAGCAGGGGCAGTGGTGAGGCAGACAGCTGAAACAAGGGCACGGAACAGCACTGCCCTGAGACGGGACGCATTTGCCTTCGGTGGGTGGGGTTGCTGCCCATCATCGTGGACTCCTAGGTAGAATCACCCAGGCTGTGTCCGTTCTCAGCTGCTCCGTGACTGAAATGTCCTGCAGGGCTAGGCCAACTTTGCCTCTTTCCCACGCCCCCCGGAACCGTTCTGCGTTCAAAAACCTTTTACGGAATGCACTCCAGTTCTCTAGTGGAGCGGCAAGAGCGCCACTATGTGAAAACAGCCCCACTGCTTTTCGGGGAGAGGATTTTATCTAAAAGCTGCGTGTGCTACAGTTCATGAACGGGGCAGGGCAGGGCAGGTCTTCCGGAGAAACCTGCACACCTAACGTCCCTGTGTATTACACACCACGCGAGGCTGCAGTCAAACTTGTGACACGGCACAGAGTGATGCTGTCGCGCTGGGTATCTCCCTGCTCAGGCCAACAGTGTGGAGCCGATTCAGAGAAAGAGGAAATGAAGATGCGACAGCACAGGGCGACAACATGATAGCCGCAGGCCGCAGGCGAGGGGTGGGGCCCCCAACCCAGCAGCAGCCCCCGTGTCTCTGAGCTGATTAGTTCTGTCAGAGAAGGAGAAAGAGGAAAAGACAAAGGACTTTCTTTCCCTTTCTTTTTTTCTTTTGACACGGGACTATCAGATTCACAGCTGGGTTTGCGGAGGGGCCGCTGCTCAGGTTGGGTCCCACACATCTCCTGCCAAAGGAATCAGGTAGCAGGAGATGGGAAAGCCCCTGCTCTGCCTCAGGCCCTGGAGAACCACTGCGGACTAATACATGATTCTGCACCAGATGGGTAAACAGAGCTCACGGCACCCCATGCTCCTGTAATGGGTCTTCTCTCTCCTCCCGCTGCTCTTCCCCTCCATATCTCTAAGCCACTTCGACTCAAACCTCCATGCATACAATTCGGAAATCCTCCTTGGCCCTGGACACTTGGGCTTTGAGGGCAGGTACCGGGCCGCCTCCTGACCCAGTCCCATTCCTGCTGCTTTTGAAGGGTACCCGGATGAGCAACCGCCTCTCCTTCTCTACATGCCTGGGTTTCATGGAGCACGAAAAGGGGAAACCGGTTCCTCAGCACAGAGCCCAGAGAGACGGGAGGACCTACCTGCGGGGTGACCCGGGATCACAAGGCTATTGGTGGGTAACGCTGGAGGAGGTGGCAGCGTTGGAGGGGTAGCAAACATGGCCGGATGGTGCTGGTGTTGGGACGGTGATCTGAGTGGGAAATGGGAGGCAGCGAGGTTGGAGATGGAAAGGGGTAGAGCCGGGCCGGAGGAATGGTGGGGAGGGATCTGCGGGGACAGGGGGAGGTGTTTGGGGAGGCTAATGCTCGTGGTGCTGCTGGCGCTGCTGCTTCTGCTGCGGAAATAAAAATGGGGTTCGGAGGGGCAGTGGGTGGGGGGAGAGGGAGAGGGAGAGAGAGAGAGGAGAAAATGCCATTAGAAAGCCAGCAGAATTACAACAACATTCTGCAACATAACTAGACTGTTTGCAAAAATGCCCCTTCAAGAAACACCAGGAAAGCTGGTCCAAGCGGAGGCTCTACGGAGTTCGAACCTGGACTTGGACGTGTTCCTTGGGTGGCATCCCCTTTCATTTCTGACTATCTAGCACAGGGCTTGTTTTCTCACATCGGTATGTCAGGGGCCCTCTCTGTCTTTCCAGCATCTTCTGCTACAACTTTCCGCATGCACCATTTAATTGCCTTTCGAAGACTACAGCAAACTTCTGATTTCCTCAGCTCGGAAAAGGAAGCGTCAGCATGAACAGAACAGGGATTATTCCTCATCACAACCAAGTAGGGGCTTCTTTTCCTGGCCTTCCAACTTCTGAGCCAAATGGGCACGTCGATAACATCATTAAATCAGCTTGTACAGAACAAGAATCCCATTTCTGCCCAAGTCAACTACCCCCTTCACAAAGGCAAAAGAAGGGAAGGGGTGTTTTGTTTTGTTGTTTTGGGCAAAGAAGAGAACTGCCACGAGAAAGGCAAGTCCTCACAAACAAACAAACAAACAAACAAACAAACAATCAAACTCACCCACCCTCAGGAAATTCAGGTGACTTTTGAGATGAGCTGCTCTGGGCAAGGTTTGGACCTCATTCCAGGGCCCCAACCAGTGCCAGCTCCAGAGTTTGGAAGGATCTTGGACGAGACACCCTCCAGGGGCCTGTCCCTCGTGCTCCCCTCATGGCCCCCGCTCGCTCACTCGCTTGCTCACTCCTACTGCTCCCCCCGCCACCTTCTCTGGGCCAGAGGGAGAGGCAGGTGAGCCAGCAGGCCACCACAATGAAGCGGAGACCCCATTCCAGGAGCCTCTGGCTGAGAGGTGCTGCCCGGGCTGATGCGTGAGAAGCCGGCACTGCCCCGGGTAGCCCCTGCGGCTAGCCGGAGAGCCACGGATGGACGCGGCCTACTGACCTGATGTTATTGAGTCCGTTGTGGGACACCTGGTGATGCACCTGGTAACCAAGCGGAGGCGGGATGTGGCTTGGAGGCTGTGTCCGAAGCTCAGGCAGCAGCTGAGGCTGCGACTGAGGCCGAGGCTGAGGCTGCGACTGGGGCCGAGGCTGCGGCTGAGGGGTGAGCCTCGGCAGGGCTGGTGCTGAGATCAATGGCTCTTTCTTCAGGAGCGGGCTGGCCCGAGCGCTGGACGTGGGTGCGGAGGAGGTCGTGGGAACGGTCGTGGTGGGTGGGGGGCTGTGGAGAGGCAGCCCGAAGGGCAGGTCCGGGTTCAGCTCCTGGCTGCGCTCCAGCCCAGACACCTTGGGGATACTTCCTGCTTTCGCTTCGGCTTTGTCATTCGAGGCTGGACCTGCAGAAACAAGAGAAGAAGGCAAAGCGTCTGAATACTGAGCCGGAATGGAGGTGGAAGGGATCCAGGCTCGTTCCTGACAGTAATTCCTGGGCCTTTATGCATGCTGTGTTGGATTCACAGAGTTTGTTTGGCCCTTCAACAAGGAAGAAGCTGGTTTTGTTAGCACAAGTTAACCTGGGGCTGGTTCGGGTTTCCCTCCGACGGGACGGACAGACCTGTCCGAACTGCACCCTTTGAGGTGCTAGATTACTCAGCTCCCAGCAACAAAGAACAGCAAGCTCTTCCCCTGGTAGAAAGACTGGCAGAGAAAACTGGGGCAGAGATAATTTGCAAGGAAACTGCCTTACTGTGAAAAAAAAAAACTGGGATAGGGTAAAAAAAGTGAGATTTATTGGCGAACTGGCATCTATTTCTTAAATACTGGAACAGAACCAATCCGCTTGAGAAGATGCCACAAAAAGTGTTCAGTGTGGTATAGCAGGGAATATCAATTATGCCAAAAAGATTATAGATCTAGATGGCAATTCTGATGACTGATGTATTTTGCTAAATTGGATCCTCTGTCTAGTGATTATTCTTCCCTTTTTAAAAATGTGAAAGGCTCTCCATTTGAAGGCATAATTGCTATAATTCACATGTGCTGTTGTTTGTTTTTAATTAGTTTGCATTGTGTGTGTATACACACGCGCACAAGCGTGCGCACACACGCACACAATCCCTCATCGTCACGTTCAAAATCTCCAAAATCGCTCCAAGCTGCACAATCCAGCACACCAAGGGATACAGCTCGGAGAAAACATTTACTGGCGGGTACAAAATTGCAAGGTAAATGTATGCATTATTGACTCGGACACATTGAACAGTTCTGGCCCAGGTGTTAAATATTAACGGCCACATTTTGCTTCATTTTTCCTCCAAAAGCATACTTAAAAGTATCTGCCTACAGTATCTAGCAGCATGGCCATTACATGGTAAGACTTAACCAGCAGCTGCGTAAATATGGGTACAGATTGTTTGTTTGTTTGTTTGTTTGTTTGTTTTGGGGAGATAAACCCCTAGTGAGCTAAGGCCCAACTGGATAGAGTGTTAATATACTTAACTGGACTCCCACATAAACTAAGAACCTGCCTCAGGCTTCAGAAGAGTCGCTCTTACTTCACCTCAATCCCCTATCAGTAAAGTGAGAATTACAATGGCTTGCAGTTGAGCCTGTGCTCCATCGACTACTTGGGGAGAGTGGCCAAGTTCTTGTTGAGGCAGGTGGTCAGCCTTGGGTCTGAGATACTCCACCTGCGACTGCAATAGGGGCATTACATGACCCAAGGCACCTTTGTTAACAAGGTTCTGTTTGTTCACTTGCCTCCTTCCCACGGAAGCACAACAATTGATCCATGCATGTAGAAAACTAGCGTGTTCAAGGAGATGGCAACTCTAGAACATTCCATGTGCAGCGACTTGTCTCTGTGTGGTTAAACGCTGAATCATGTGAACCCAGACACAGATTCCCCACTGGAGAGTTCAGAGGCCAGAGCCCCTGCCAAATAATTCATCAAAATCCTGTGGTTGTATTTGGGGAGTTTGGGAATGTGCAACGAAGGGTTTTCAGGGGCTGTTCAGGAGCCCAGCCCCAAGCTGCAGTTTGGCTTTAATGATCTGGAAGGCTTCGGGGACGGTGGGTGCAAGTGACAGCGATCAGAAAGCCCCTGAGACTGCCAGGAATGCTGCCTCTTGGGAGATAGGCAGCATTTCCGCTCTGTTGGCCATGTAATGGCTTTCTGGAGACTGCTACTGGTCCAAATCCTGTGCTGCAATCCTGTGCTCACCCCAACACTTAATTGGGGTGTTTCAACTTAGTCGGGCCATTCAGCTACAGCCAAGTCCCTCCTGTCTCACTCTCGCATCTGTCTACTTGTTCCAGGCAAGGACGGCCGCCCAAGGCCCGTGCTTGGTTTCCTGAACTAGGATTTCACTGCCTTCTTTCAGTTGTGGTCCTGCCTTCCCATTAGCGTGCACAGAGTGGCCAACGCCACTGCACAAAGCAAGTGCCACCATCAGTGAAAGACATTTAGCAAACATAAAAGCGTTGTTACACACAAAGCGGTTCCATGAAGGAAAGTGGTGAGCTGTTTCCACTGATGTGAGAAGGACCTTGGACAAAGAAAACTGCTTTCAAGAGCTTCTGGGCATGTCCAAAAGTATTTTCATCATTGCTTGATGAAAAATGTATCGGCCAAGGGTAGGGTCCCCTTTCCCGGTTCTTCCTGAAGATGCCACAGGTATACTGTGCCTTCCGCATGAAAAGGATGTGCTTCACCAAGCCAGAATCCTTCCCTTCGTAACACCTCTGGGATTAGGCAGGGAGGAGGGAACAGCAGTCCTAGCTAACCAGGACTGTGTCCTGCATCTTTTAGTTCACACATTTAAGCCCCAACAATTGAGCGACTGAGCTTTGGCAGAGGTTCTCTTTCATAATTTCTAACAAACCTAAAATAAGAAAATCTTCGTAGTGCTTCTCACTAAATTGATTTAACAAATGGACGCTTCACCATGCTAGAAAGCACTTCAGATGCAATGGAGGTGGGTGGAGGGTAGGTCAGGCATAACATTTCCAAACCATTAGTAGAATCACAAATCTATTATTAGTATACTCCAAAAGCTCATTGGAATTCCCCCGAAAGACCTTTTTTATGCATATGGATGCCAGACCACCCAAAACCAACCGATTTCATACTGTACTAGCCACATGTTAGTACAAAGAATCCTTGAACATACAAAGGGGCTTTTCACATGTTGCAAAAAGGCAGAGCACTGCGTATGACAGAGATGCATATGCACCGGGATTCCCTTGGTTGTGTGACTATAGTTTGCTACCATGGTGCACAGAGTTGTTGCCTACATGTCCAAAGGAAGGCTTCGTTTCTCAAACAGGTTCACAGATAAAGCTAAACTCAGGGGTGCATTATCCTCACTGGAACTTCTACTAGCAGGCTACCACTGAAATTAGAATGACCTTACTCGCCACAGGATTTCCACGTATGTGATGCCCAATTTCAACATGAGATGGTAGCATATACGCTTACGTCCGTATATGCCCGACCGCCCCTTGAGATCTGCGGGAGAGTCCCTTCTCCGGGAACCCTCCATGAAAGAAATTAGGAGAGTAAGTACTCGGAGGAGGGCTTTCTCTGCGGTGGCACCCAACCTATGGAATTCACTCCCCAAAGAGGTCCGCCTGGCACCGTCATTACTGGTTTTTCGGCGCCAGGTAAAGACTTTTTTATTTAAACATCATTTTAATTGTTAAAATATATGATCTGGCCAGGGCAACTTCTTCTTCCTTCTCTTTCTCCTCCTATATTCTTTATTTACTTATTTTATACTGTTAATTTTAATTTTATATTATTGTATCTCAGTGTATTTTTTGTATTTTTGTATTTAGTGGTAATTTATTATGTTCTATTTTATTTCAATGTATCTTATTGTGTTGTAAGCCGCCCCGAGGCTTTGGCAAGGGGCGGCATAGAAATGTTATAATAATAATAATAATAATAACAATAATAATAATAATAATCTAAGTCATAATTTTGGCACATGACCTCCCATGCACCAATTCTGCTTTACCTCTGGTTCAGAAAACCACCCAGGAACAAACCTGGAACTCTGGGCTGTTGAGGGGAAACAACCCTGAATTGTTGGGTTAAAACTTTGGCTTGTTTTCCCCTCAACAACCCAGGGTTCTGGGTTGGCACACCGTGCCAAACAACATGGGGTTGTTTTGTAAACCAGAAGTAGCAAGCCAGTGGAAGGCAGCTGACTAATTCGTGGTTGGCCATTCCATGTGAACTGGGTTTTGGGATCTTGACTGGGTTTATGTGGCTCCGTGCTAACAGATCTTCCCTCAACACTGTCCATGCCACTCTTTGTGAGATGTAGCCACCTATGGGGAGACGATTGTGAGCCTTGTTTCATGCTGCAACCTATGCCCCTGGGGTTTCTCTGGGGGCCAACAAGACAGCCACTTTTGCAAAATACCTCTTCTCTGATGGAGGCTGAATAAAATTTGATCGCCCCACGTTTTCTCATCTCGTATTCCTCGGAACGGCACAAGGCCTGATTGGCTGCATTGGAGTACCTCTGGGCTTTCAGAAATAAGAGCTGTAGGTCCCACCCTCCGGGCATCTGATTGCACAAATTCTACATCGTTGACCTCTGCTCCCAATATAAACAAGCATGAGATTCACCACCCTGTGCTGGAACATTCCAATGACAGAAATGTGTTTATTTTTACCAAGTTCTAGAGTAGTTAATTTTCATGCCTCATGATAACAGGCTGAGCCAATTTGCCTAAGACTCAACAGTCAGCTCCAATATTTCAACCTTAATTAAAGCTGAACTCGCGTCAGCTCAGTTCTTTCCTTCATAGAGCTTCTGACATTTACACTGATTTGCATCTCAGTTGAGCTACACTGAAGGCGAGATCGGGCTGACCACTTCCCCCTCCTCTGCATCCGTCCCAACTTTAACCCCCTTGCAGCAAGCCAGCTTAGCTTTGCTTGTTTTCTAATCCCCGGGATACTTTTATCAAGAAATAAATTCTTGAGACTTAGTTTTTGGTAAGATGGATTGAGGCAGAGCAGGCAGGCATTGGCAGGACTGAATATTCCATAGCACAGGGCATAAAGTTATCTCATTATAAAAACACTTCTGTATCTTAGCCCTGGAAGCATCCATCACACCTTCTTAGATGATCCCAGCTCTTTTATAGCAACATCTGAACACTTTAAAATCATTAATGTGTTTGTCCTTGTGACACTCTTGTGCGGCAGGGAAAGGCTATAATTCTCATTTTACAAATGGGAGCAGAACGCCATCCAAGGCCACTGGAGGAAGGAAATGTATGTCTTGGGTGCTAGCCTTGAAAAGGGTGCCCAGCCATTGTAATTTATGGGATGTGCTTTCCTTTGTTCCTGGATGAAGCTGAAGTATCAACACCAGCA